GATTTTGACACGGGACATTGATCGATTTTGATGTGAAAATTGCCTTCTAGTTCCAAAGCCTTCAGAAAATCTTCGAGTCATGTGAGTTGACTCAATCAAAATACTTCATCTGCATATCTCGAAAATAATTCCCATCCCAGATTCGAAGATATTTCTTTCGGCTATCAAATAGAGTAGCCACCAAATCCATGAATCAAAAGCTAGAACAGCTCCTTTTTTAACCAACTTCTGAGCTTTTGTATTTTAGCATTTTACCAACTTCTGTCTCGAGGTTGCAAAAAAGATGGACCATGCTTGCGGCTGGCTGCTTTCCGGCTTTCCACTTCCAAGTTCTGGGCCACCTGCATGGTATGCCAGACCTTCTGAATCCTAAACATTAATGATTCAAGATAATGTGGGGCTAAATCATTTCGAACATTTGGGCAACAATCCTTTGGGATTCTTTTGGGGCTAAATCATTTGGAAAACCATTCATCCATTTCCCTTCGAACGTTCGGACTGGGCAAGAAATGACAAGAAATAAGAAAGAAGCCGAGAACAATCACACAAATCAGATTTCACATGATTTAAGAAAGTTGGGGATGCACTTCACCCAACCTGTCATGTTGCGGTGGCATCCACCTTCCATGGCCTTTCTATGGTTTGTTCGGGCTGTCGCATGGATGGTCCAAATCTCTCCAAATGTGACCAAAACGGACCCAGTCACAGCCACTCTTTTTCCGCAGTTTGACGGGCACTTCCTTGGCTTTTTTTAAAGGAAAACATTGGGACATCAGGAGAGTTGGGGAAACTATTTGGATCGAAAATAGGTCATGGAACATTAGGAGGTTTTCCCAATTCAAATGGTGAAACAATGGGAATATTGACCATGCGCCCAAAAAACATCGATTGTTGAGAGCAAAACATGATGCGATTAAGATCATTTGAGCGTGGCGAAGACCATATAGGCAGGGGGTTCTTAAACTAATGGGACCCAAAATTATCCAAAGTTACAATGTTTGCTTCAGAAGGGTTTCCCCAATTATGGAAGGTTGGCACCTCCAAGCAAATCTGAGACACACGACTCTTTTTTTGAGGTTTTTTTGGGCTCCGGATCGAGTTTGAGATCAACCTTTACCCAGCAAACAATGGAGACAAACATGTATTTTACCAACTAACTACCAATGCCAGATAGATATCTTTTTAAAGGAGGCTAAGACCATCCCGTTTTTGAGGCTAAAATGGCTAAGACTCCCATCATCTTGCTGATCAACTCTACTTGGGGGCTCATTCCAGTCACTTATAAGTAGGGTTAATCCACTCACAACTGGGTGAACTCACACACTTACAAGTGCCGGGCAAGCCGGGGGCGGAAGTTTCAAAATTGAAATGCTATGAAATGCCTGTAGAGCGGAAGCAAGACTGTGCCTATAGGGTGCGGCCAAGCCTTCTGTGCATCGCGGCAACAATCTCTTGACTTGTCATTCCAATGCAATCTTTTCTCAAGGTTGGATCCTTTTCCATTTTCATCTGACCTCATGTCATCTCATCTCATTTCATCTCACCTCATCTCATGTCTTGTCTCCTTTTCTCGGCGCTTCTCAGCTGATCACAACTCGTCTCATCTCTTCTCATGTCATCTCGGCTTTTCTCATCTCCTCTCCGATTCTCTGAACTCTTGTCTTTTCAGCGCTTCTCTGCTTCTCAGCCTTGTCTCAGCACCTTTCATTTCATTGCAGCTCAGCTCCTGGAGCAGATGTTATTTTTTTCAGTTTCTTAAGGCATTTCATCTTTCGTCATCTTTTTATTGCGTATTTACATTTTCTGACTTTCCCAAACTAAATTAATTCAATTTCCCATTTTGCTTCCATCTTTGGGCCCCAATTTTTCGGCCACTCCAAGCATCTGATCCTGGCGAGAAGACTTGAGGCTCGCTCTCGGCTACCATAAGGGACCTGGAGCAAAGTGGAGGAACCCTGTTTCATCACTGGGTTTCTCCTCCCAAAGAGTCATTCAATGTCTGCAACATTTTTGTGCTTGCCAATAAAATATATCGCGTGTGCAGCACCATTGAGAAACATCAATTGCCCACAAATCCACTCGTTGGCATGGTGACCAAAATAGCTGGGAAATGGATGCTCCTCCCCACCCATTTGCTGGCGGTGCTTCCCATTGATCATCCCTTTCAGAGCTGATTCCGCCTGATAACTAGATGGGGTCCAAAGACTTTTGAGCATTTTTTATGATCATCACGTCCAAAATGAACCCAAAAAACACACGCAGAACAAACATCCAACCATGGTTGCCGTGTCTTCAATTTTGCCCCGGGCCCATATCCATCATATCCATCGATGCAGCGGCAATCTTTTGTTACATTCGCCCTTTGCACGCAACGGGTGACGCATGTGTTGTGAAAATCTGTCGATGAGAGATGTGTGTTTTACGGAAGGCAGATCATCTTCCGGGCCATGGACATGTCCAAGCTTGGTACGAACACATTTGGGGATCCTTTCACTGCTGAATGGGGATATTGATCATGTAGGTGGCGATTTCTCTGATATTATTGTATCATCATTTATAATGTGTATATATATATAGATATACTCACATATGTATTATTTATTTCCTATTCACTCACACCATTCGCATTCAAACTTCAATTTATAGGGGACTTCATGGCCCAAGCCGCACAAGGGAGATGTTGCCAGGGCGGCGACATCTCCACGCGTGATTGTTCTTGGCCACGGTCGCTATTGCTACGCGCAATCATACTGTTTCAAAAATTGCCTATATTTTTGCTTGGTTCACCGTGCTGGATCTTCTTCAAGGGATGGTGGGGGATCCTGACTCCGAAAAATGGAGGCCCATTCCGAAAAACGAAAGAGTTTGTTTGGGGTCAGCTATAGCAACATAATCGGACTTCTAATGCTTAGATATAGTAATGAATTCATACCCATCCAATGTAAATTTTAAAAAAGGAGGTCAACTCCCAGGGATGGAGACGCCTTAAAAGCCTCACGTAGTTTGAAACAGACAGCATATATCAACAGATCAACATGACAACATGTGTAAAAAATATATATGGTGATAGCATGTGTTGTGACATGACAGTACATGATGGATAGATGTATGTAGTGGTTCTTCATGGTTCTTCAATTGTTTTTCACAACTTTCACGGCATGGTTTGGGTCAAACACCTGGTACTCTGGTGCACATCAAAATAGCTGGTATTTGGAACATATCCCCATTGATATCCTCAATATGCCCAGTTTTCTTGCTGAATTTCCCTATTGACAGATTTTGATCCGTCCAAGAGAGCAACTCTCAATCTGAAATATCAAAGTTCAGATCAGCCAGCAACTCCAGTGGGAACAGCAGTGGCTCTACCCTCTGGTAAGACTAGTTTGCTATTGACAATGGCCCATTGAAATAGTATGAAATATGTCGATTTACCTATTGAAGGTAGTGATTTTCCAGTTCGCTATGTTAAGTTTACCAGAAGGCAACTGATCTCTGGTGGATCATTCGTTCCGTCGCAAGAAGTTGTCACCGCTCGCCTCGCGCAGTGAACTCGGCGTCTTGGACGCGGCATGCTGCGCAAAGGCTGAGGTGAAATCGACAGTGGTTTTTGAACGGGGACAGAGAGATTCTCTGGGTAAAGTATGATGCCCCAACTTGGAAAGTATATTTAAACAACATTCCGACATAGAATTTGACTATATATATATACATATTATATATATATATTTTATAGTTATTCAGATATAAACATATATACAAATCAAGCTTTTGGGATTATTCCCGATGAACTTCCGATTCTAGTGAGCTTGGCCATTCAGGTAGACCCCAAACTTGAGCAGATGGTAACACAGTAGGTAACACGTCCACCAGCTATGCGAAAGCTTGGGATTTATACACATTAATGGTGATTAATGATGATTAATGGCTATTAATGGTCAATGGGCTATTAATGGTTATCAATGATGACTAATGTTGGTAAAACAATTCCATAAACCACCCATGATTGGGAATGGTTTATAATGGTTATCATACCACCTATATAAAAAAATGGTGATGACTGCGGGATGGTAAACATGGCATTCTTTTACCCACATTACATCAATAATCAATATACAGTCTAAAGTACGTGTGTATGACTTAAATTACATATTCAATGAATCAATAGTCATAAATAATCATCAATAATCATCAATTACATCAATAAATATACAGTCAAATAATCATCAATATGTCAACATGATTCCAAAAAAATGGAACTGTTGGCCACCGCATCCGCGACCCGCACGTCGTCAGTTGACAGTGACTGATCTGATAAGTCTGAAAAGTGGTACTGAAAAATGTACTTCATACTTCCAGATAGACCTGAAAAAGAGACCTCAATAGATCGGCGTCCAGCCGCCTTTCTGTTCTTCTGTTGCTCGATAGGGATACTCGGTAGATTTTCGAGGGGCAAGGGGTCAAAACCCTGCCAAAGAATGAACAACATGGTCGTCGTCTTGAGATGGAAAGAACGGCCCCAATTCTTGCGATAGTTCGTTTTGACCATAAGCAAGGATAACTTGAAACCATTGTTTTGAACTACGCATTCTTACTTGGTGATTGAGCCCCACTGAAGAATGCGAGAGTCAGTCGAGAGCAAATTGATCTATTTCAAGGACACAACAAATAATTACATACAAATCATGACACACACACACATGTAAGTTCATAATCATTCCTAGCGATCCTTTAGCTATGGTACTGGAATTCCAGGAAAATCCAGGGAACCAATGTGCTTGAGGATGCTTGGAGGTTTTCATTGTACCATCCCCCCTTTTGGACTCCTCGCTTGTATTCATATGTAGCTTGACTTGGCGCTGGAAAAACCACCAAAAACGTTCTCCGGTCGTGATCCCGAACATCAAAAACCAACGGATCCAAACGGTGCCCTTCCGATCTCCACACTTTGGTGGGGGTTTCACAACCAGGGGTGTCTACCCTGCAGCTCCGCCGAAGCTCCGCTAGACGTTCGCCACCCGCGGGTGATATCTTTGGGGAATCGCCGGCTTCAGCTTCTGGAGCTCCGCTTCCAAAGTGCCTTTCAGCTCCTGAGGTCACGGTCACGCTGCTGTGACTCGGTCTGGTGATGCATTGAAAATATTAGGGAAATCAAATGGATTATTCAAAAATGTATCAATGATACAGTATGAATAGTAACCATCAATGATATAGTAACCAAACTATATGATCAATTATTATCAGATGTATCAGATGTTAATCAATCGAAAAATGGATCACCCCATGATGTTGTGAGGATCGACTCGGCATTCCATGCGGCGACTCGGGCGACTCTACCGGTGACTCTACCGGGACAGCTGCCAGTCCTTGAAATGCTTTTCGTAGCCTTCTCTTATATCCTTTTCGTGTTCCAAATGGATCACCGACCCAGAGAAAACCAAAACAAACATCGCTTCGGCACGGTCTTGAAATTCATATCAATATAATGATCCATCTATATTATATATCTAGATCTCGATTTGTATATGTATCTATATATCTAGAATCTATATCTAATCTAAAAAATGTAAACACACAAATATATACACATATATATCTGTAATGAAATGTCTGCATATCTATCAATATCTACCAATATCTATCAATAGCTATCAATATCTATCAATATAATATATATATATATATGTATCTATGTATCTATGTATCTATGTATCTATGTATGTATCTATCTATCTATCTATCTATCTATCTATCTATATCTATCTCTATCTCTCTATCTCTCTATCTCTCTATCTCTCTATCTATATATATATATATATCTATCCATCTATCCATCTATCCACCTATCCATCTATCCATTTGTCCATCTATCCATCTATCCATCTATCCATCTATCCATCTATATCTATCTATATCTATCTCTATCTCTCTATCTCTCTATCTATCCTACCCTACCCTACCCTACCCTACCCGACCCGATCCGATCCGATCCATCTATCTATCTATCTATCTCTCTATCTCTATCTATCTCTATCTATGTATATCTATCTATGTCTCTCTCTCTCTCTCTATCTCTCTCTATCTATATGTCTGTCTATCTATCTACCTATCTATCTAATCTAATCTAATCTAATCTGATCTATCTAACTATCTAACTATCTAATCTATCTAATCTATCGATCTAATCGATCTAATCTATCTATCTGTCTATCTGTCTACCTACCTATCCTATCTATCCTATCTATCGTATCTAATCTATCTATCTATCTAGCCATCTATCTATCGATCCTATCGATCCTATCTGTCCTATCTATCCTATCTATCCTATCTATCCTATCTATCCTTTCTATCATATCTCTCCCATCTCTCCTGTCTCTTCTATCTCTCCTATCTCTCTTATCTCTCCTTTCTCTCCTATCTCTCCTATCTCTCCTATCTGTCCTATCTCTCTTATCTCTCCTATCTCTCTTATCTCTCCTTTCTCTCCTATCTCTCCTATCTGTCCTATCTCTCCTATCTCTCCTATCTGTCCTATCTATCCTATCTAATTATCGTATCTATCGTACCCATCGTATCCATCGTATCCATCGTATCCATCGTATCCATCGTATCCATCGTATCTATCTTATCTATCTTATCTATCGTATCTATCTGATCTATCTGATCTATCTGATCTATCTGATCTATCTGATCTATCTAATCTATCTAATCTATCTGATCTATCTAATCTATCTAGCCTATCTAACCTATCTAATCTATCTAATCTATCTAATCAATCTAATCAATCAATCAATCAATCAATCTATCTATCTGTCTGTCTATCTATCTATCTATCTGTCGATCGATCTATCCATCCATCCGTCCGTCCATCCATCCATCCATCTATCTTATCGATCTATCTATATATATATATCAACCGCAGAGGTGACCCCCTCAGTGATAGCTGGTTCAGAATCTCCTTTATAAACGTGGTTGGTGGTTAATAGCCCCATTACCCAGTGGGGGGTTCCAAGGTGGTACCGAAACTTGAGGGGTAAGACGGGTATAGCTAGGTTTCACCGGTCTTTTTTTCCGGGAAAAAAAACATCTGGATTCAACCATCAGCTGTCAACACTGAGGACTTACATTCGTGACTGGCACGCCCTCTGGTGATCACTTTTTGCCGCGAACCAACATATTTTCCATAGGAAAGTCATGCATCACTGATGGGATATAACCCATCAAGCTGTTAGTAAACATCTAAAATCCTCGGCTTATGATTTCCAGGTATCCATCATATCCCATTGGTTCACTGAAATCTCCAACTGATTCTTGGTTCACATTGCTCTGATTGTGGCTTGGCAAACACTGGATGATCGATTCTCCCAAATTCTGGAGCCAAACAACCCATCTTCCCAGGATTTAGATCTCATGATCATCTTATATAATCTTATGAAAGGATGAATATATAATCTTATACAAAAAGGGGTTCATATAATCTTATGAAATCCAAAATCCACATTTCCAAAATTTTTCTCCCCTTCGATCCAACGTTTTTCATGGGAACTTTCACCAGTTTTCTATTCCACGGCTTCACTGTTTTCGCCAGGGTACAGCCACCATATGTTGGACCGCCTTTGTAGCCAACAACGCCGCGACGGTGTCGCTCTTTTTGATTTCGCCACGGATCTGCAACAGGCCCTGCGGCTTGGGAGGCTCGGATCGGATCCAAGGAGCTGATCACGTTTTTTTTTCTGTTCTTTTTGGCCAAAAGGTGTGAAGGTTCCTGGTCAAAAAAGTAAATGTATGTGATATGTGTATATATATATGATAAAAATATGATATATATGATATATAAATAACATTTTAATAACCAACATTAAGCAACAATATCATATTTGGGGGATGAACATCTCCGAAGTTCAACACGAAAGGGGCAATTCCTAGGGATACAAACCTGTTCTTGCGGGACATTTTTTCAGCGTTTTTCCATGATGTTTTCCTGGCAGGATCCAGTCGATGTGATGGATTTATTCGGATGTCTTCCATGGCTACTGTTCAAAACCTTGTTACCCTGGTGAGCATCAAAATAGCTGGCTGGGAAATTGATGCATACCCTAAATATCACATTGTTGGTTAAATATCATACACCATATCCCCAGTAATATCCACATAATATATACTCAGTTTTTCTTGCTTAAATGTCTATTCATAATATCGGTTCTTAAATCTCCATTCACACTAATTACAGGATAATATAGGATAATATCGGATAGTATCTGATAATATCGGAAAATATAGGATAATCGATGATAATATAAGAATAATTGGTTTGAACCATACCACATTTTTCCAAAAACTCGATGGAAAACCCACGTGTCGTCATCGCCGATCGCATATTTCGCCTGAACCAGCTCGGTGATATGTAGCGTGCCACTGCCGTCAGCATCAATCACCTGCGCGACGAAGAAGAAGAAGAAGAAGAAGAAGAAGAAGAAGAAGAAGAAGAAGAAGTGGAGGCTGCAAAGTAGCACGCTTTAGCAGCCGCAGAGCCACCGAAGAGGCGGCATCATCATTGTCCTGGAGGCAGGGCCCCCCCCCCCCGTCACCCTCACCCTGAGGTTGCCGGTTTCGTTTGATGCGACTGTCAGTCGCCAAACGCCTGATAACAGCCATTTGATGTAAGAGGCGAACATTGACGCCGCTCATGTTCCACCCCGTACGACCAAGGAAATCACACCGAGGACGCGGCAAGGTCCTAGCTTCACTCCAATATGTCGGCAAAACCATAAAATGTGATCAGTGCAGGGAGTGAAAGCACCTTGACAATCCCTACAATAATCACGGAGAGCACCACCAGGTGCCCAATGAGCATCCGTCTGAATGCCACCGCACATAGCGGCAACCCCATGACCATTTTGTTCCGAGGCACGTGATCTGAGTTCGTCACAGAGCTTTGTGGTGAAGTGTATTCCAACTTGCCGAGCCAGAATCGCATCACGCCTGTTGCTATTGAGCCAAGATAAATTCCCGCCAATGTTCCCGGAGAAGATGTGCGCATCTAGGTGCAAAAGCGATTGGGTCACTGAGACTCCAATATCCATTGTAAAAGGAAACCCGGCCACCATGCCAAGTACAATCAAAACGTTTCAAACATTGTAGAAGAGCTTTGATACATGGATGCGACTCCACCAATCCAACATGAGCATGAGAACCCATCCACTTGTGAAGAGCAGACATGAACTGCTGAGCAGCATAAACGTTAAGATCAGCCGTGTGACCCGTTTGCAGAACCGCCCGCAATTCTCTAGAATCATGGCATATCATGGCCATGTTTATGTTCCCAACCCTTGACAGCAGTTCGGAACAAAGTTTTGTACTGATCAACCTCAGCAACAGTCGCCATCCGACAATTGAAAATCAAACCCCAGGCACGGGCAGGTCCAAGGACACAAGCTGCAACCGCGGTTTTGAGTTTGTGTGAACCTGGCAGGACTGAGATACGTCTAGCGGCATCGGCCACCTTGTTATGTCTATGGTGCTCGGCAACAGAAAGGGGTCTGGGAACCAAACCAACCGTAACTCCCAAAATTTCGGCAGAACATGAAACCGGAAACCCATGCATCATCAAATCAGCAAAGGCAGCCGGAGTCCTAGCAAGAAATTGTTGTTTGTCTTGGTTGTTGCGTAATCGAGTGACCTCATACAACGACTCCCAAGCTTCAAGTGCAGTCATCAGAGAATTCCTGTCAGGAGCTAACACCGTCCGGTCGTCGATGTACAACAGTTGTTGACACCGAGGGACACACCTGGCAACATGATGTGCAGCAATGCTAAGGACCAAACTCATACAAACTGGTGACCAACTATCACCCTGCGGCAACCCTTGAGTCTTCCGCAGTTGTCGGTGCGACACCGCACCCCCAGCCGTTATCCATTTGACATGGTTACCCCATTGAGCTTCAAGGAGTCGCACAATCTGAGGTGGGGTGCCAAGAGTAGATAATAAGTTCGTACATATGACATGATCCGTGGAATCAAAAGCCTTGGAAAAATCCAGCGCCGCAGCCATCGGAAATTGTGGAGCAGTGTACTCAAGTTCAAAGGATAACAACAAGTCCTGAACTCCCGGACCCTGGAATCCGGCTTGATTAGGCAAAAGAAATTGACTTAAAAAACCACGGACATGTTGAAGCCTCACCGCACTCCAAACACGGTATATGACCGGCCCAATCGAACTTGGACGCAGTTGCGAGTGGAATCTTCCCACGCATAGCCACTTTGGGCCAAAACACGAGTTTCCATTGCAACAACTCTTCAGGCCAAGAGCCCTCCTCTTCAAATTGGTGCAACATGTCAATCAGCCTATCAATGGCATGGTCCGGCAGCTGACTCAACATTCTCGCAGAAACACCATCCAACCCAGTAGCCTTGGCAGAAATTCGGGCAGCCCTTCTTCTAATCTCCTTTCGACCAATTGAAGGAAGAGGAGGACAGTCTTGCCTATCCGGGATGACATTGTGAAACATCTGTCTGAAGTCAATCCAGGATTGAGCACCATCCGCTTGTCCAAAAATGGGACCCCAACAATCCGCCAAATGTTCAACAATCTTGACCCTAGACGTTAACACTTCATCATCAGGGGTTTTCAGAATAACAGGTTGCGCAACCTTTTGTCTCACCCACTGGCAAGCACCAGGAACATCACTAACCTTTTGCATCCATTCTTTCAATTTTCTATCTTTTCTCTCTTTGTGCATTTCATCCAATCTGTCTCTGGCCAGATTGTACGCCAAACCCCAAGCGCCATTTTGCACAGCTTGTTTTTCACTGTCAGGCACCCTGGCTTGAGTGAGTTTATACAACAACTGAGGTCGGATGGCATGACCATTTTGTTGAAGCATCCGGGCTTCCAAGTCTTCTGATCCATCGCCTCAATTGCCTCTCATCTATAGGTTGACAAGGAGCCATGTGATGAGTTGAGGTTCGCAGGGTCGGCAGACTGCCCAGGGGCCGTTCACCAGCCGCACTTTGAAGATACCCATTGAAGGTCAACCACGCTTCCACGTCCTTAGACCAAGTGCTCCAGGCCAAATTGCCTTGGCCACGAACTTGCGCCCAGTGATGATTAGAACTGGCCACATCTAACCAATCGACATCTGGCACCACAGGAGGGTTATTTTCAGTTTTCCTGACGTGAGATGCGAAATTGTTGCATTTGCGGCTTCTGCACCCGCAAATTAAAAACCACTTCAGCGATTCTGTGATCACCTTCACCTATGAGTTCAGACCTAGTGGAATCAAGTCGCATGGCCTGAGAACCCAAATAGCATCAACAGGATATGAGCCATGAATGCAACTGGCAGTGGCGGCGCAAACTCCCCCAACCACATCAAATATTTCACAACCCGGTCCTTACAATTGGTTCGCATTGGCATCCATAGCTACAACCCAGGGTTGGTTTTGGTTGATATGCAAATGTTGTTGCACGGCATGCAAGGTGAGCATTTCGATATCGTCAGCATGCCTATAATGGCAAATCACCTCAAAGCAGATTTGGCCACCATGAACAACCACACGAAGAGTTTGGCCATTTTTGGTGTTAGTATGATCAAGCTCAATTATGGCAAGAGGATCCCTACAGAAAACAGCCACCCCTCCCCTGTTTGAGGACACCTTGTTAGTAGGGATAGCAAGCATCTGCCAACCTTTCCGAGAACAATTGTTGACAATGCAAGGAAGCGAGTTTTGGGTCAGATTAATTTCCTGCATGGCGACCAACTGAATACCTTCCTTTTGCGAGCCATGCCATGTTTGGAAAAACTACGGATATTTTGAGACCACATGGTCAAATGTTCCTCAGCCGTCGGGCCAGGATGTCTGGCCTCTCCAATTCGCTGCCCTCTGAGGCCCCGACCACTAGCAGAGGTCCCAGCAGCCTTCTTTGACAAACTCTTGGTGTGCATTTTTTGGGTCTGGCCTTTGCTCTGGTTCTGAACCTGAGGAAATTGTTTTCGTTTTTTAATCCGAGCACGTTGCATGCGGAGTTTTTTGTTGGGATCAGCGCCCCACTTAGTGACCGTGTCCGTGGCCTTGTCTCTGCACTGCTTCCAAATTTTTTGCCGCGACTTAGTAGCCGGAGCTTTTCTATCAGTAGCGGTGCAAATAAAAAATAGGGACATCAGCCGACGAAAGCAAGTGTTGACACTTGTTACACCTGTACAGGGATCTCAGGTAAGTTCGCCCATTTCGACTGTGAGAAACCTTGACCGTAACAGGTTCAGGACAGAGTTCGTGAGCCCCGGACCATCGAACACGTTTGAATTCTTCCAACTGCTGGAGCCAACGTTTCTTGTTAGCTGATTGTAAAGCAACAGCCCTCTCAGGATGACTTAAATGACTTCTATTCAAATAAGTTTTGTTGTTGTGAACTTTGTCCAAGTGGTGCAATCTTCTGTGATATTTGTTACCAGTTTCTCCGTGCTTGATCTCAAATTCACAAAATTGACAACTCCACCAAACCTCATCATCATCTGGCGGGTCGACTTTGACCACAGGGATGCCATTGAAAGGCCGTGGCACGGGTTTCTCTTCCGTAATGTGGATTCGGTGTTGCTCCTGAATCGACTGCGTGTCTTTGACATGCTCAAGGTAAGTCTTGGTTCTTTCTTCATACATTTCTTCCGCTTGCTGCCACCATTTTCCATTTGGTGATTTTCTGCTGGGGAGAAAGCTTGTGCGACGAGTGTTGGGCGTTTGTTCAGTGCATGAGGTATCAATAACCTGGCCCCACTGGAAGGATTTAGAACAGTGATCACATTTCCAACAACATCTTTGGGGTAAAGACCTTTGAACAAATTTGACCTTGTGCAAACCAGGCCACCCTTCCTTTTGAACAATTTCAGAAAAACACATAGCTCTGCGACGAGAAATGTTTCGCTGAGACTCATGTCTAGTTTCCTGAGGAACGTCAGTATCAACAGAAGCCCCATCCCCCGCATTGTTATGCGTCTTTTTCAAGTGGGATTGCTTTGAAACATGAGCCCTGGTGACCGGCAAATTTTTGTGGTGAAAAACCTTGAGCCCACAAAGTGCACACGTCCACCAAACACTGACTTCTCCTTTGTTGATACGATCCTGAACAACAGGAGCAATAGTAACTTTGTCCGGGTCGATGACACCATACTTGCCAGCAGTCAGTTTTCTTTTACCAGAACTGTCCGAAGCAGGTTTAGGAGGAGACATACCAAGTTGACAACTGTCGGCAACAGTGGTCACATCAACCTCAGGGGTTTTTGGTGGAAAACAAAGGCTGCCGCGAGTCTGGTGAATCCGGGCCATCTGAGATTCTGACGTACCCACCTCGGCATGAGCGGATCCTGCTGGCCTTAGAACGTTTCCTGACAGTGGAGGTGCAAGAAACTTGGGTAGGAGTGTGTGGTGGCACAACCAAAGAGGACGTACTATGTTTTCCAGCCCCTGTGTAAAACTCTCTGGCTCTAACCGGAGTCTTTTTCATCCACGCCAAAGGCATGGCGGCATCTTTATCTTCTGGCTGGAGCAAGAAGAAGTGCTGATTTTGCAAAAGTAACGCGACAGGGGCGGTACCATTTTTGGAAATTTGGGCCACATCATCTTGAAATTTGCGGGCAAAAACAGTACGAGACCACGTTTTGTCTTCTCCATTCCAAACGAAGACCACAATAACCGTGCCTAACCGTTCCATAAGGGCGTGAATCATCATGCCATCCATCCAGAACTTCTTTTTACTAATAACCATGCAGTAGTCACTGAAATCCTGAGGGATGTCTTGTCCAGCACACTGTTCGACAGTAGCAGTAGAATCTGGTTGCCATACATTTTGATACGTATGTTTATTTTTGACCAGATGGCCAACCGAGAGAACTCTCAACTTGCAAGCTTCTCTTTCAAGCTGTTGTTCGTCCAAGGTGGTTTGCTGAGAGAAAGTCATGGCTTGAGCTATGCTCCTAAAGCCACAATCCCCTTGACCTTTGGGGTCAATCACTTTCCACCCGGGATGATTTTCGAGAAATTGTTCTTTTGGTGACAGCACCGGCGCCCTAACAGAGGCAGCAGCTTGTCCCTGTCCTCGTCGGGGAGAGCGAACACGGTCTCTTTGTTCTTGCTGTCCATGACCCCCTTGAGATTCACTGTTGGCTTGACTGGCCTGAGTAGCCTGGCTAGAATCAAGTTGGGTGGCGGCCACGGGAGGAACAACAGGAGCCATGGTGGCCTCTTTCTGACCCCACTTCTGCCTAGGGGGTTTGAGCCATTCACTCAGAGGTTTGTTGGCACTACCTTTCCTATCAGGAGTGACAGTAAAATGCCATTTTCCGTCTTTGTCAGTGAAATGCCAAAAATCCGTCTGTTCGTTTTGAGTAGGTGCGGCAATGGCACGAAACATCCAAACAGCTTCTCGGCCTTTCCGTTTTCGAGTCCGCACTTCAAATTCTTTCCATTCGGTTTTGGTCAAGAAAACATTCACATCATCTTGGGTCCAGTAAACTGGCGCCCCAAGCAGTTCCCAATTTTTGTGTTTGACGGTGGTGACATCGTTAACTGAGGCTCCAACAATGCCTAAGTCATTATGCCCTCCTTGCCGCAAAACGAGCGGTTTGTTCAGTTGCTGTGATTTAGCAACTGCTTGGTGAAAGTAGTCTTCACTTACATCTTTCCCTCGACTAATCCACACCACAGAAGCCTTTGGGTTCTTGTCGACTTTGGTGAAAAACAATCCACGTTTTCCGGACAGCAGGATGGACCTTTCAGCATCTTCAAGAGACATTTTAAGATGACCAACCAAGATACATCCATGTTTGTGGTACACATTTTGCCAATTGCCCCCGCTCAATTGGCTCACCCTACAGCCAAGGAGCTGACTCCATTCCGTGATAGCAGTCGCCGGCGTGTCGGCATGGTCAATTCCGGGGAGCAACTTTCTGTAAAATTCCGGTGCCAGAATTCGCACCGTGACTTGTTTGGGTCTGTCAGAAACCGCAAAATCATTAAGAATTTGAGGTTTTTGGGGAATAGGTCCATTCGTGCTGGACGCCTGCCACAACTTAAGTTTAACTCTAGCAGGTTTATGAGTGAGTTGTTTGGACAAATCCCACCAAACGGAAACAGTGGGACCAGTCTGGTCATTGGAAACCACCGTGAAGGATCTTTGGTGATGATCAGGTTCTGTGTCACGGTTCGTCCTTGTTCCAAAGCCTTCCTCATCTGATTGACTGTGCCAAGTTGCGTCGGAGCACTCCACTCTTGCGCGGAAACCTTGGCCGCAAACCTTTGACCAGTCCACGAAGTCTTCGCCGATGCCGCATTGGCCGCAGCGGTGACCGTGGCTGATTCAGCAGAGAAACTGGTCTGTTGTCCAGTTTTGTCCCACCAGGACGTTCTGTCATAATACCATGAGTTATGCTCATTATATGATCCCTGTTGCCATGGTTCAAACTGCATAGCATCTTCATGAAACTGGTTCCCTTGAGCATACCCAACCGATTCCTCCCATTCGTCTTGGGTCTGGTCGTTGTGGTTGACAAATGGTTCCAATTGTTCAATCATGGAGGCAGCAACTTTGGTATCGCTCCAGTTTCGTTGAACGGCATTGTTTAAAATAGCCAGCAACGTGTTTGCCAACTGGTTTCCAGACGTGTCATTGTCTGGTTTGATTTTAGCACGTTTATGCTTAGGCCCAGCCTGAAAATTTTCAAGAACAGCCATCAACTGAGCAGCAAGGCCTGCTTCTTGGGACTGACCTTGTTGGTTCTTAGCTCTTTTACGCGCAGTAGCCTGACTTCCACCAGGTCCAAGATTGGTAGCTTCTCCAACCCTACACCCAACCCAAGGGTCAAACTCAGCCAAGTGTCTCATAAAACGAAGGAGAATGGATCCCAAAGAGGCTTTGCCCACCATTGAAGAAAAAAGACACGGAAAGTCTTACTGCACACTCGGTCGACACACTTCTGTACATGACTTGCCCTAGTCGGAAAACTTGGCCCGACATCTCCATGCAAAACATGTGCGACGCACCTTTTATGCAGCTTTTGGGTAAACTTAATTTTCAGCCAACGTTTTCATTTCGAGTATGCCGACCACTTTCTCTTTCCAAAGTTCGTTTCTTTCTTTGAGAAACAACCTTGAAATTGGAAGCATGAAACAAAAGCCAAACAAGGCACATCCACAAGTCCCCATACTTAAACAAAGTACTAAACCTGTGATTGCAACACATCGCATCCATCCCACCCATCTCCTGCAGTGGAATCGCTGGTCTCAGGCGCTGCTGGCAAACAGCGCTACAAGCGCAACTCTTAGCAACAAGAGAATCGCACCCAGAATCGCAACCGGGGGGCCCCCACACAGGGCCGGTGTAGTTGTCAAAACTGACAGTAGGTGTTTCCATGTGACACACACGTGGTGAGACCACGTGAGAAGCAAAGCATGGTTGCACCAAGCAGAGCAGAAAGCAAAGCATTGGGAATGGTTGGGAAAGGCGGCCCTGACTCCAGTGAGTCTTAGTTTCAATCAATTTATTCTTTTCTTTGGGCATCTTTTTCACTTTCTTGTTGATTTTTTGCTCCTGTGGGGACAGGAGTCCTTTCTTGGAATCACTTTGCTCATGCACTCTGGCCTCAGTGCATGCCCGTCTCCACCACGTGGCGGTGTTCTTCCGCTGGAGACTCACCCGCGCGCAAGCCGTAGCGAGAACGCGCTATGCATCGAAGCGCCAAACACCAAAACCTTAGTTTGCCGCCGCGGTGGCCGGAGCCAACCTCAGCTGCGCTTCCGCCGCCCGGATCGCGGCCATTTGCCGGCGCAGGTGTGAGAGAGAGAGAGAGAGAGAATCAGAGTACCCTCTGGGAACTTAACAGCGGGCAATGGAAAATGGCAAATTGATGAAAATTGCCCATTTATAGATAAATTGCCTCTTAAAGACGGTGATTTTTCAGAGCTAAGGTGAATTACCAGGGAGTATCCGTCCAGAAATTTTGCTCCGAAACAATAATGCAGTACTGTAATCATTCAATTCCTGAGGAAGAGTTGTGGTTTCCGCGTCTGGGCTTCATTTTGTCTCTGAACCGATCTCCAGCTTTGACCTAGCGGGCCAATCTTGCAAGCTTTGCTTCATCAAAATGTTTGCCCAAAAGCGCGCTTGCCGCTGTTCTCAACCACAGTCTCCTCGTGATAAACAACCACCAGCCAGCGTAGTCGAGGATGAAGATGTTCTTAGGGTCTGCCCTTGCAGCCCTGAGAGGCATTCGCAGGTGGAGGGGTCCCTGTTTTAACAGGCTTCGCCTCACGTTCCATCACGACGTTTTCAGCAGAATTGACATTCAACATATCCTCCACGAATCAGACACGGCAAATGGAAATCCCCGTTTTTATACAATGTTACAATGTTAAATGGGACAATCATCGAAAGATTGCTGGGGGATTTTCCACCACGCCATGTTTGATTACCCGAGGGCAATTCAAGTCAAGATATTCAATCAATGGAATTTCAAGGGGATCACGCCAGGTTGGATGACCGTGAAATTTCAAGTTCCAATTTTTAATCCTTCCATCGGAAGCTCTATGAACCTTTCGCAACCAAACGCCAGGTCCTCTGCGGACGCATCCCATGGGAGATACCCCAAGAATTCCGTCTCAGTGGGGAGAATGATGATTAACAATCCAATTTCGGGGTACCCATGGGTACCCGATTTTCAAACGAACTCATTGTCTCATTGGTTGCTTGAAAATGGTGAAATCTCAAGCTGAAACTGGTGAATCAGCCCAACTATGTGGGATAGTATAGCCATCTCCAAGCCCTTTCCCCCAATGAATAGATGCAATCTGAAACCATGGCTTCGAGGGTATGGCTGGATGATTGGGATGGTTCGGAACCTACATGGCGTGGCAAATTTGCCACGGACGAAGAAGAACTACACAATAAAACGAGTATGTGTAAAACAAACATAATAAACACTGATAATAATCATAATATAACATGATAAAACATGATAACATATAACATGATAAAAAACAATCAGAATACACCCCCCAGTAGTAACACTTGATTGACAATTGCTATATCATCTTCATAGTGTACTAGTGCTAGTTGAGCCGAGTTTAGCAACTGACAGATCCAAGACACATAGTATAATCCCAGTTTCTTAGTATTTAACACCCACCAGAAAACATGTCTAGTAGGAGATGAAACCACATATTTGGATATATTTGGAACCATTCAAGGGTGGTGTGTGTTCCTTATTGGGCTTAGTCAAGGGACCCCAAAAGCCACCAAAAACCAAAGTGTTTTAGTAAGGAATCCACTTTTTGCGGCGTCTCCATTTTAGGCAAGAGAGTTGATGGTCAAAATCCTCATTGTTGATAGTTAATTAGGTCTTATTGTTACTTGGGTTTGTCTGAAAATTTGGTACCCCCAAATCCATTGGGTGAAAATCCTTTTCCTGATGAACCATGATATTTTGTTACTTTGGGGTATACACAACCTCTCCGACAAACCCAAAATCTTACAGTGTTGGTCATATACGTCCTACTATATCCTTACTGCATCCCAATTGCATCAAATCGCTATGTTCGATTGTTACTGTAAATTTCAGGGTCAACAGGTTATATTTGTTGCGATGTTGCAGTGGTGGCTTACCCGGGTTCCATAAATAGGGCTAACCTAAAGTGGATGGTTTATAGTGGAAGATCCTACTAAAATGGATGATTTGGGGGTACCCCTATTTTAGGACCCCCCCATATATTCCACTATAGCCCACATCCCCATACCCGCTACATAGCTCCATGATATTTTCCATAAATCTCCGATCCAGGGGAACTGGCTCCAAGCCGTTGTAGTAACTATTTGCCTACAATCAATAGCTTGGATAAACCGTATCTGCATAAATAATCTGATTTCACCAACCTGAAGACTTCGGCCACTACTTGGGATCTCTACCCCCAATTCCCATTCCAGAATTTTTGTCGCGACGGGAGGTGGCAACATCATTTATCCCTGTGATTACCCTCTGGTAAATTGACAGTTTGCAAACTGGAACATTGCCATTTTTAAAAGCGGGAAATCAAAATAAATCAAAGAACTAAAGGGGGCCATCTATACCGTGGCGCCCACAATTAGTTGGCAAAATTGGTTATAACATGTTATAACTCCACCAACTGGGGTTTATAGGGGTTATATCTATAGTTGATGGATGTTAATGGGGCTCATAAACCAACAAACATCACTGGGCGGTACCCACAGCTATGTCAGTCTATATTATATACTTGGTGGTAGATCCCATTAATTCCTACTAATTCCCATGATATTTTCCCCATGATATTCCCATTATCATAGGGAAAATGATGATCATGTCCATGATATTCCCATCATTTATAATGAACATCATCACATTCCCATGAAATCTCACTAGAAAATGTATGAACATCATCACATTCCCATTATAATCATTACAAATCCCACTATAGATTCCCCACATGCCATAGAAAAGTCGCACAGGCTCCAGGAGCGCAAAAAACGACCGCCTCGAAGAGGTTGGCACGATCCGGTGGCAGGTCCAACTCATCCATCAGACGTTGCACGTCGCGGTCCTATAGTGCTATGAAAAAAGAAGAGGGAATTGTCCACCAGAAATGGCCACCAAAGATAGGCAGAAAAAAGATCTTCAAAAAGGGGTCGAAGGGAGATAAAATGAGATGAACACATGGTGGGTTTTCAAATGGATCAAGAAGGGTTTGAGATCTGTTAGTTGGGATTTCCAGCAGCACAACTGCGATTTAAAGATGCTTTCAATGAGGTTTTGACGACAGGATTCCGAAAGAACAACTGTGGATCAGCATCAATCAGGATATAAAAATCAGGGGGAACCTGGTCACTGTTTGATCAACAAGCAGTACTGGGATGTGCATCCCCGTTGCAAACTTTTCACCAAAGAATCTAAGGGAGATATTCCTGTCATATATAACTCATGAGTAGCTCATTTCAATCACGGATCCATAGCCGCAGCTCCTGGATGACGAGTAGGAAGAGCTCTTTGGTAATGGCCTTTCTTGCCACTTGGACCGAAGCCAGTTGGGATCATATCAACATTATGGATCAGCCAGTTGTTGTAAATAAGCACCTGTGAAACCACCAACCAAACATTTGTGATCAGTTAACCGACAATGGGTGTATTAACAAGAAAGCAATGAAGGGAATAATCTAGAAGTGGGACATTGAAAAGAGTCAGACCCCAAGTTATCCAGCTTCAACTCATCATCTTTTGCTTATCGGGAAACTTATCCGGTGATTTTTTGGGATATTTTCAAAAAGCACCAACGTCATATTTCATCTGGTGGTGGTCATGGCTCATCTTCGGTAACTGTCATTTTCGCTGTGCTTCAAACCGGGATTCCCAGCTCATGGATTCTGGTCATCCTCACTGTATTGGATAGTGTACCCTCCGGTAAACTAACATAGCTATTGAAAATGACCATTTATAGTGGGTTTACCCATTAAAAATGGTGATTTTCCATAGTTACGTTAGTTTACCAGAGGGTAACCCCGAACTAATCATTGAACTAGCAGGGCTTTAGCAGCGCTTGGTTGACCCAGTGGGTGGTTTATCTCATAATTCAGGAAAGAAAAGAGAGGAAACCAATGGAAACCGGCACCAATCATCTGACCAGACGGTGTTGGGTGTTTTTTGGTGTTCAAGTGCCGGCTATTGTGCGGCAATTGGTTGAGCCACCATATCGGACAGTTGAAGCGCACATCTGAAGTGTTTCAGGGATTATATCATTATTCGGATGTCCAATAGAATAGTATACAGTTTAAACCAATATTCTGATGGAACATTCTCAGGTTTGCTGGTTTTTCAACACTCCATCTTCCGCTAAATTGACATCAGGAAAATCCTGGGTGAGTTGCACAAACTGAGCCACGAAAGTTATACCCCTAAGGCCCTATCCCATTAAATCATCGTCGGCAAAGTGCTACGAATTAATCCCTCGCCAAAAAAAGCTTCTGGGGTCACGGACAATCTTGTCATGGACCTCACTGGGGGATCGCCGCCATGAAGGGGTTAGCAAAAATTTGATGCAAGCAACTCACATTGGTTGGTTGGTGGTTATTTAACCATCTTGAAAAATATGAAAGTCAATGGGAAGGATGACATCCCATATGAAATGGAAAACAACATGTTTGAAACCACCAACCAGTTGGGGATTGAAACAACCAACATGGGAACTCTCGGATGTTCAATAAACAGATAAACATCAATAAACAACACATGAATATGATGAAGAAATTGGCCACAGTCTTCTTCCAAGGGAAGTCGTTTTCCCTGAGCCCCGATAGTTTTATAAATGCAAAATTAGTACATTTCGTCAATATTAGAATCAATTTCACCAAATCACTAAATCTCCAAATCTCCAAATCATGCAATCACAAAATCATCAAATTCATCATGACCAAACTCATCCTCATCATCATCATCATCACCATCACCATCACTATCACAATAGAATTCTTCCATCTCAGTTGTTTGTACCAGCAAACCAGCTGGTCTGAATTCTACGCTTCCAGCTACTGAATAGTGTAGAAATGACTCACAATTTAGCCTTCGGGAGTCAAAGATGGCAACGGGAAATTCCCTGTGGTTTTGATTGGGAAAATCATCTATTGCTTGATTGCATAGATGATGTTCGGAGGGTAATGGGGACATGTGGAACCGATTTTGGAGCTCCTATCAAAGAACGCATAACAGCTTGTATGCCATCAATGAAAGAGAATGCACTTGAGCGGGGTAGTGCTATGTTTCATTCCGTGATGTGCCTTTTCTTTCACGTGTGATGATGATATCTTCTCATCTGCGGGGAATCATCTGGCCCCTCCTTTGCATATTCCCAGAGTTGAACTCAGTTGAGCAATGCTTCGTGCCAATTGCATTTACAAAATTTACACATCCTGACCTGCCAAGAAATCCAAGAATACAGCCTGAATCCCCCAAGGATTAGTTCTTTGTACCAGCACTTCTTGCTTTTTTTCGCCCGGACCTCTTGTTGGTGATAGCCCCCATGATACCCCAGGTTTGACCATGACCGTGGGTACATCATCCAGTTGAAGCCATGTTGGTCAAATTGATTATAAAAATTGGTTTCTTCTGGGTCAGAAACAGTTTTTAACTATTTTTTTTCTGTTTGAATTGGGACATCCTTCGTCAAACCAGGTTGATTTTTCTGGATTCTCCTTCGTCAAACCTGAGATTCCTGGGTATCCATGAGAATCAACATTGAATTCCTGCTCTTTCCCAAGATTTTCGGACCAATTCCCATACTACTTGGATCTGCTTTAAAATCTTTAAAAGGCCTTCCAAACAACGACAATTGTATGGGAATTGAAAACTGTTGACAATTACATACACTATCAGAAACTATATATCTAGTTATCTAATTCTCAGTAGCTTCCCCCGGTTCTGGTGGATTAATTAATCATCATGAACGAACAACTTTTTCCCAATCCCTGCGTCCAAGACACATCATCGTCTGTAAATATGGTGCTGCCCCCACGGAACTCCAGGCGCGTCACTTGTTGATGGCCCTGGAGTCGTGCTGCGGTTTCCAGGGGGATTTCCCATTGAGGATACAACGACTTTTGGATGATGACTTGGGGTCCGCAATTTTTGGAAATCCCCCAGCAAATTTCTCGCGTTTGATTTTGGCGTTCGGCAACGCTGGAGCAAACCCTCATGTTTCTTTGGGTGCCTTCCTTTGCAAGATCTACCGGAATCTACGAAACATATTCAAAAGAACTCTCAAAAGACCTTCCCAAATTTCTTCCAACATATTAGTAAGATATTTCAACCAATTTTCCCAAATAACAATCATCCGGCATCTTTGAACTTTTAAGGCCACCGTCCCCGACGGCGAGTTGACATCATCGTGCCTCGCATTCTTCCAATTCCTGGAAGATGCGATAAGCCGCGGCAAATTTCTTCAGCAACTCACCTGGGGCGCCAAGGAACAACGCCAGGTGTGGAGTGGAACGTTACCATGCATGTTGTATGTTTGCATGTTTGTATATGTATATGTGAATGTGTATGTATATGTATATGTAAATGTATATGTATACAGTATGTATATATATATGCATATGTGTATGTATGTAACAAATACATACACATATATATATATAGATAGATATATACAGATAAATCTAGAAGGTATGTAGTTTGGACTGAATGTACATCTAATACCTGTATCTACATATACCTATGTGTCATTATGTGTCTATATCATATACACATCCACAAAGTCCCTCCAAGCCGATGCTCCGCGGCACCCGTCTCATCCATCTTATCCAAAGAGTTGTTCGTTCTTTCCGTACGATGTCAAAGTCCCTCATGATAGAGGCGATGATTATGTATGTATGTATATATAGATTAGTTGTCCGTATGATGATTATATATGTATGTATATATAGATAGATAATATGATATATCCCATTTTCAGAATGGCAACACCACCTTAACCAGCAATTTCTCATGGTTGAGCTCCGTTTTATATTAGGTTATCCCGGTATTGCTATTCCAGGGTACCCCAAGAAAAACTATCATGACATGGTTCTATGCACAATTACATCCCTCCTACATCCCTCTTATAATCCACAAATGAGGCTTGCTCCCAATACCTCAGATACCAAGGGGGGTAAATTGGGTAAATACAAATCTCAAGTCGAATTTGATATACCCCTCTTGTGACTATCGGTGACCATAGGTTTCAAGTTTAACCCTGCTTCGGGACGACAACCCCCGAAACAAAACCCGGTTTTCTGCTGGTTAAACCCCAATTCCTAATGGTATCGCTCAATGAATCCCCCCCAGATCATCCAAGTCATTCATCAACATTCGTATTGAAACAACCATGGTGACTTGGGGACCATGACTTAAGAACCCCCCCAGGTAATCATAGGTATGGGGTCAAAATTAGATACCCTTAAAATTGGATAATTGGATGGTTACATCATATGGAGGTTTCCTGAAATGGGGGTACCTCTAAATCATCCATTTTATATGTATAATGGAATTCTCTATTATAAACCATTCATTTGGGGGTACCCCCATTTATGGAAACCTCCCTATCTAAGTCCCACCATTGAAACCATTCCCCGATGATGTTCTCTTATCCTGGGCACGGGTGGTACGTGCCACGCGGATGGATTCCCGCGCGTGCTGCTCCGCCGTGGTCGCTTCTGTCTCCTGGCTCTTGAGAAAGGTACCATACTTGGGGCGTCTACAATCTACACCAATTTATGGCCATCTTGATGGGGAAAAACGTGATAACATGATGCTCCAAACCATACATGGGTCTAAGTTGGGGGTATGAAATGACATAGACTCACACATAGATACCATAGATACGATTTTTGGATACAAACAAGTATTTGAACGATAATTATACCATTTGTCCGCAATATTCAGGTGTGTTTGAAAATACAAATAGATACAAATACCACAACAGTTAGGTGAATGTAACTGTCATGGCAAATGGAATTTGAATGGAAAATAAAAGGTGAATTACAAACGTAATAGGGTGAAGGTAAAACTATCTACAAAGGTAACCCGCAATTGTCAGATGACTTAGCCATGCAACCACCAACCCGTACTGTTTATCTCAAACATAGAGAAAAATGAGTTTATCCTATCATTAATGATGATCCATTGGAATGGCGCTGGACTTTCCAACATGTTCAAACAGAAATCCGCATGTGCCATGGTCACGGTACTTTTGTTTTGTATTGGTTATGGTCATTCATCCCACCATAAAATGGCGAGATCCTTATGAAAATGGCCATGAACTTGGTCCATAATAGATATGAATGGTGGTACTGTGGATGGTTGCGAAATCGTGCGCCAGTTGATAGGTGGTAAACATCCGGGTTTATCCCGTTATTTTGGATGGGTTTCAACCATCCAAGGTGGTGGTGCAGGATGCCTTCCACCCACCCTATGACCATATTTCTTCATGGTTTTGCTCCTTGGCAGCTTTCATGGTGATCTCCACATAGACCTCGGCCGAGATAACTGGCAGGAGCGAAAATGGGAAAGGCCCCAACATCCCAATTCAATGGTAACATCCTTTTCACTCATTGAACATCTCGGGAGAGCCCCAACATCTCACGAAAACCTCAGAAGAATACTTTCGGGAACACCGCAAAATCCCATAGTTTATCTTCCTTTTCCACTCCAAAGATGACAATTTGAGGTTTTTTCTTGCCGTTTTCAAAGATACATGAAATACTCAGGAAGACTTGTGTGGCACAGCTCCAGCCATTTTGGGCTCCTGAATGGACGATTCAAATAGATAACTGGGAAAAGTGGAAGTATGAAGCAAGTATCATGTAAATAAATATATATATAATTATTGATATATTTATATATTTATATTTATATTTATATATCTATATTTATATATTTATATCTAAATATTTATGTTTATATATCTATATTTATATATTTATTTATTTATATCTAAATATTTATATCTATATTTAAGTAGATACATATATATATATATTTATATGATATATATTTATACCAGTAGCACCTGCACGAGGCAGGGCGGAAATTGCCTTGGGGCTATACTAAAAGGCCTTTCTCATCTATAGAACTTGCATGCGCCGTGCGCCAGCCAGGCCCGTGCGTGCGTGCTTGTTGTCCAAGAACACGACCTGCGCGCGACCCCGATGCAATGCAACGCCAAGCGCTGCTTTGCGTTCCGAAGCTTAGACTTCACCCTTCAGGTCGCATCTCAACTTCATACTTCATCTCAACTCAACTCATCTCATCTGATCTCTTCTCACCTAAATTGACATTGTTTCAGCTCTTGTCATCTCATCTCCTTTCTTCGCAGATGTCGCCTAAGTTCTTCTCAGCTACTTTCATCTCATCCGAGCACACCTTAACTTCTTTACGTCACATGGCACTTGCTGCAACACAAGCTGGAGCGGAGCAACTATATTTTCTTACTACAAAGCTTGCACAGAGTACTTCCCAGGACTACTTTGCACTACAAAGCTTGCACAAAGCACTTCCCAGTACTACTTTGTATAACAAAGCTTGCACAGAGCATGTCCCAGTACTACTTAATACTTTGTTAAAGCTTGCACAAAGTAATTCGCAGTACTACTTTGTACCGCAAAGCTTGCCCAAAGTGTGTCCCAGTACTCGATTTTACTACAAAACTTGCGCAACAGTGTGAAAAATTGCACCTCCAAAACCGGATCTCGGCGCCGAAGCCTCAAAAAGAACGATTTTGAGGTTAAAAGGAAAACCAAGCGCCAAAATTGAGAAAATCTGCTGACAAATCACAATCGCAGCCTTGATGCAGCCACTCCAATACGATTTATAATGTCCAGCTGCAAAAGACAATAATAATATTACGGCCAGGCGCTGCGTGTTGCCCGGAAAGTTCACATGGCGTTTAACCATTATTCTTCAACACGCTCAAACACCTGCGCAGACCCAGTGTTTTGAAATTTCCCAGACGAGCCCTAAACCCTAAATCCTAAACCCAAAAACCCAAAACCCTAAAACCAAAAAACCTTAAACCCTGAACCCTCAAAACTTTGAACCCCAAACCAGAAAACTCTGTGTATATGCAGTGTTTTCTGCAATCTCTCCTATCCCATTTAACAACACGACATCCTCAATGTTAATGTCTGGGCAACACGCGGCGTCTGTGGGTAATATTACGAAAGCGGTCGCGACACCAAGCAACCTTGACGCAGCCGTTACAATGCGATATCGAGATATTGAATTGCAAAACACAATGGAACTACGCGCAGCGGCGTGAGAAATTGCAGCTCCCTCCGAAACTGGATCTCAGCGCCAATGCAAAAAAACATTTAAGAAACACGATTTTGAAGCACTTTTTAAAAGGAATTTTAAAACGAAAATCGCAAGCGCCAAAATTGAAAAAAACTGCTGACAAATCACACTCCAATACGATTTACAGTGTCCAGCCGCAAAAGACAATCGTATTACGTATGCAGCTGCGGCACCAAGCAACCTTGACGCAGCCGCTACAATGCGTTTTGCAGCATCATGTGGCAAACTCGCATGTATCTATGCACATGGCAACAGAACATGACAACAATCATGCAGCCATTACACTGCGATCTGCAACCAGAGATTCAACAAGTGAATAGAACTACGCGCGCGTGCAGAACACCAAGGAGGAACACGGAAAAACACACGGTTTCGTGCTCGGGCTTCCTCCACAACACAAGTCCCAGGCAACATTCATGCAGCCATTACAATGCGATTTGCATCCCCGCGTTGCAGAACACCAAGGGAGAACTGATTGACTTCGAAACGATCCAAACTGCAACCGCGCACACACAAGGTACCCTTCATCGCCGCCTGCAGCCATTTTACACAGAAAAACGTACGGTTTCGTGCTCTGGCTTCGTCACCACTTCCCTGGGTCACCACTTCCCTTCGTCACCACTTCCCTTTGTCACCACTTCCCTTACTCACCACGTCCCTTCGTCACCGCTTCCCTTAGGTCACCACTTCCCTTCGTCAGACCTTCCCTTCATCACCACTTCCCTTCGTCACCGCTTCCCTGTGACACCACTTCCCTAGGTCACCACTTCCCTTAGTCACCACTTCCCTTAGTCACCGCTTCCCTTAAAGTCACCACTTCCCTTAGTCACCACTTCCCTTAGTCACCCCTTCCAAAAGTCACCACTTCCCTAGGTCATCACTTCCCTTAGTCACCACTTCCCTTAGTCACCGCTTCCCTTAAAAGTCACCACTTCCCTTAGTCACCGCTTCCCTTAGTCACCCCTACCCAGAGTCACCACTTCCCTAGGTCATCACTTCCCTTAGTCACCACTTCCCTTACCCTTACTCCCCACTTCCCTTAGTCACCACTTCCCTTCGTCACCACTTCCCTTCGTCACCACTTCCCTAAGTCACCGCTTCCCTTAGTCACCCCTTCCCAAAGTCACCACTTCCCTAGGTCATCACTTCCCTTAGTCACCACTTCCCTTAGTCACTTCCCTTCGTCACTACTTCCCTAAGTCACCACTTCCCTTAGTCACCACTTCCCCTAGTCACCACTTCGTCACCACTTCCCTTCGTCACCACTTCCCTAAGTCACCACTTCCCTTAGTCACCACTTCCCTTAGTCACCACTTCCCTCAGTCACCATCCTTGGTCACCACCCTTCGTCATCATCTTTTATGCGATTGTGATGTACTGTTGTGTGATGTAAAGTCTCACACCACCCTTCGTTGATGTAAAGTTATGTGATGTACTGTTATGTGATGTAAAGTCTCACAATTCTGTTTGTCCGTAACTCCGAAGATTGCTTCCCAACTTCCTTTGATAATATATATCTAATATCCTGGAAACATTTGTTTCTATCTATTTGGGCATTATAAAAACATATTACCCCCAGCCGCAAGGGCCATAACTTCGGCCTTCAATGGCTTGTCCCATCCCCACGTGTTGGATCTCGGCCCGGGATGTTTGCTGATCTCCGGTGTATCGATGATTTTCATATGAACGAGTTACCCTCTGGTAATTTAACATAGCTATGGAAAATCACCATTCTTAATGGGAAAATCCACTATATATGGTCATTTTCAATAGCTATGCTAGTTTACCAGAGGGTAGAACAAGTGGGTTTCATCGTTTCATCACCATTTTGTTCTTACCTATCTTACTATCTTAACCATGGTGATGAAGCTGTCTATCGATTTCCAGATATCTGACAGATATAACTGTGTATCGATGATTTTCATATCCCATAGTAAGAGAGGATATCTGTCACGATAGGTAATTTCCAGATATCCTCTCTTACCTATCTTGCCTATCTCTTCAACTGTAACTGGCCATTTTCAGATCTCAATTGCCAATGGTAATTGTGTGCATGAGCATGGAGGATAGCCCCAAATGGTCATTTCTATACGGAACATCTTGTGATAAACCCATGTTTTTTTTGGGGGGGTTGCCACCAGAGTCGCTGCCAGAATGACGTTGAAGATGCCTCGCCAAGTGGTTTTTAAGCCAGTTTGGGATGCACCTGAAACATCCTGAAACCCACCATGACTTCATGACTTTTAGGAAGCTGCGAACAAAATGTTGGGTCACAAACTGGGCGGAGCCGAACTCTCTGAAGTGTTCTTTGCGGCCGGGGGGCCCATGGAGACCAACATGTAGCTCATGATGTAGCAAGCCACAAACCTCGGGAGACCGCGAGAAGGGAGACCCAATGGGCAACGACAATGTTCGATGACACCCAATTTCGGAGGGATGAAACGGATGAAACATATGAAAAATATGATTTTCTCAGCAGTCAATCTGTGATCAACTTGAAATATTGATCCATGACCTCACGACTTGATGGACTGAACGGTTGAGAAACACCAAGCTGCTGGTAGAGTCTGAGAGACGCGATCCACAACTCTTTATTCCTCTGAATCTATGCGATTTGACCTGGCTTTCGTTGGTTTACCACTTGGGTACTATCTGGCTTACATACTCTCTGTATCTCTCTGTACATCTATTGAAATAAGAGCCCCATTTCTAGATGCCGTTCCTATTGAAATTATTTTCCTATGCCCAGATCTGTTTCATCATGGGTACAGGGTGGGTCATGGTGTAGCTGGTGGTAGGGCCCTCTCTCACACAATCTGTACGCTGCTCAGCTGCGGACACACAAATGCTGACGGGATACCCAGGTGTCGGTTCTGGTATACTTTGATGAGATGATATCCCATATGGCTCCCCCGAAATCCCATGAATCTGGTGATTTTTTTTCGTGATTTGTTTTTCGTGATTTTTTTCGTGATTAACAATATATAGTGTTTAACCCCATGAATCCATATAAATCCAAGAGTTCATCTTCCCAACTCACCATATCTCGCCATGCATTTCGCTTCGCCCTGGAGATCCCCCCCAGAAAAATCGTCGCCCGGCCACGGTAAACCAAATTTTTGCGCCAGCATCGAGGTCATTGGGTATCCTGGCAGATCGTTGGTCGGTTGTGAAACCCTATACCCCCTGGTAAACATACAAAAAACTATTGAACATGGGCCATTGATAGTGGATTTACCATGATTTACCCAGCTACAACATGGTGGATCTTTCCAGTTCGTTATGTAAACGTTGACCAGGCCGGGTATTTCTAGTGAAGAAACGCCTGCTTTTGAGTGAAGACCCAATGATTCATTGCAGCTTTTTGGAGATTTGATATGATCCAGGCTCGGATTTGAGGTGCCAGGATCACTCCATATGGCTGTGGAGAGCCATCCCCGCCTAGATCGTTGGTGCATTCACCCGTGAAGCAACGAAAGGCCGTGAACATCGACCTGGGCCAACGTTGAATTGCACCGTTTTGCAGCTGAGACCTCCAAAATACAAAGATAAATATCTTATACTGTATAAGTGCATACTGTATATACATGTATATATATATATAAATATAAATAACAATGATGATAATAATAACAACAATAATAAATAAACATTATTATAGATATAATCACGATAATTATCGATAATTATTTGTCACGTTTTCTTCAAATTTTGGCGTTCCATGTTCCACTTCTACCATTTTTTTCCACAAACAAACTTCAATCATAGGTTCTTCGTTCTTCACGCTTCAATTTGTGTCCAAATTCCAGTTGCTCAATTTCTCGCAACACACACAAAACATATTAAGCAATCCCCAAGAAATACACCAAGCTTGAGGTGATGGGAAACCCTACTAACCACCAACAAAAATGCTGAAGTCTGCCGTTGTGGGGTCAAAAAGGCAGTAATAGTTTACCCGTCGGGTTTTCGCCAACAACAGAACTCCGCCTCCTGATTTTCCTCTCCACTGGGGAAAACCATCTATATAACTCAAACAAAAATATCTCAATATAAACATAATGATTCCGAAAATCATATTTTTGAGGTGGTATCCCCATCGTCATTATATGTCATTATTATGTTTTTCGGGCTGGTGTTCAATGGCCAGGATTGGCCAGGGCCCCTCCCAAGCGTTGCGGCGTTCGGCTCAGCGGCAAGGGCAAGTTGCGAAAGTATTTGGCGAGCTCCAGCTCTTCCGTCTCGCGACCTGATGCTGAAAGGCTACCTGGCTACCTCAAAGATGGTTCATCCGAAAGTTTGTTTCAGGAAAGTTTGGGCGTTTCTGGGATGATCAATTAATAAATTTATTTGATTTTATATGATTTTCGTGATGTTCATGAGTTCGTGGTTTAATTCGTACGTCGTTGTAACTCGTGACAACCCACGGGATGAACCGTTCGCTGGATGGCGCCCTGGATTTTGGAGGTTGAGCCGCTTGATGTACCGATTTAGGCCCTTTATGTTTTTTTTTGGGAGACCTTGGAACGAATGAACAACGTTGAAGAACGCCTGGTTTTAACCTCCTTATAGGTGGTGGGTTGTCTGTTGTGACAGTTGTGACTTGTTACATTGTTTTGCCAAGGATCGGGAAAAATGGATGGAACATCCGCTGAGGTTTTGATGATTTCGGCTAGATTCGGTTGGTTTTCATATGTTTTCATGGAAGATCCTATTTTTCACGTGGATGATTTGGCGGTGTACCCTACTAATTAGGAAATATTAGGAATGACATGTTTATAAAATGTACCCAGAAACATCCACGATTATCTCGTGGATGTGGCCTAGGGATTTCGCTGACCAGGTGACTTCTCCCAATGGTGTAGGTGGCAAAGCCCGAGATCCTCGAGATCCAGTCGTCACGTGGGATTTTCCAGCTGATTTTCACAGGGAAAAAGGGAACAAAAACTGACGAAGTGTTCAGCTCGAAACGCAAATTCAACTGACTCCAGACGACTCAAAAATACAACAAAAATGGTCACCCAAAATTCTTGCTTCGAAGTAGATTGGAGGATCTAATGTGGTCTTTCGGACAGCAAAGACGAACCATGAACCAGGGATCATCTGTCCAATCCTTGGGGTACAAAAAGAACACAAAAAATGAAGGGGTTTCTACAAGTTGGTCAGATTCAGTGAATTTGCATCAATTCACTAGTGATTCCAACTTTATGCAATGATCTCTATCAAACATTATCAAACTGGGAAGCATCAAAGTTTCATCAGACAGCAATCACCCAATTGGTCGGGATCATTGGGCCTTAAGTTTGGACCCAAACAAATTTGTTTCTCCGAAAAAAATATGGTATTTTTGGGGTGCACCCCTAAATTCCATTGGTTTTACATGGTTTTACTCCCATCTATCTTCCCCAATGGCAAGGTCTGACACAAAATTGCAGGCCCCTGCCGAGACACACATAGATCACCGAGAGTAACAAAGTAAACGCCAGGGTAAGGGTTCGGATACCAGCAACCTTGGGTTAGGTGTCAGATGTTGTCAGCCTAAAATAGTTGGCAGCCATTTCTAGGTTCATCCCTAAATATTACATGATAGATCATGCATGTTTTTTTTGTTCCATCTCCATTTAACCACCAACTCTACCTGTGTGGCATGGGCTTTGGCAGTTCGTGTTGAGAGAAGTTTCTCGTTTGAACCGATGATCGGGTAGTCATGGGATAGTCACCTATCAAACATGTTCAGTAACCAATATGCGCGGGTATTTCTTTCCTGGGGATGGGACATGGTTACAAGATGTTACAAGCACCTACTGAATCCTCGTTCACAGTTGTGAAAGAACGGAGACACTTTCTATAGTACAGCTGTTTCTAGCTGCTGTCTGACAATGATTTAAACATATTCCAATTCAAACTGTGGAGACCCCCTTCATCATCCTTCATCCACACCAGGTGTACAAGCCAGTTATTCCGGCTCATGACCCAAACATGGCAACATAAATTCAAACTCATAAGAAGGGGTCATATTTCCCAGGCATCATCTGTTCTTTGCTGTGAATCACCCGGATTTGCCCTGAAAATGTCTCTAAAAAAACAGCGGGGCTTCCGTCTACTCGAACAAATTTGGCTTTGTCTGAACATTTGGGGCATTATAAATTACTGTATATTCACCAAAATCCACTGGTTTGTCATCACCTTCCGTGTTGAAATAGCTATTTGATGCTATTTGGAGGTATACCGGTATACCTCATTTTCGGACTAGCCGATTCCATGTATTCGACAAGTATTTTCACCATTTTCACCTGGATCACAAACATGGACGCATCGTGGTCCAACTACCTGGTTGGTGGTGTTAACCATCTTGGGAAGGATGACATCCCATATATGAAATGGAAAATAAAAGCCATGTTTGAAACCACCAACCAGTACCATATTCAATCTTCTTCATATCAATACTGGACGTTGCGAAACGATGTTCTGTAAGTCCGGTGAGTGCTCTCAAATTGATACATCAAAATGGCTCTATTGTAGAAAACCAGTGGCCAAACTTCATCACAAAGCCCTTGCTTCACGAGGGATAGTTTGAACTGATCTGATCGTAGTCCAACGTTCATGAACCGCTTGGGAAACTGATAAATCAGGTTAACCTTGGTTCAGCGGTCGGTGCCCCCAATCAAGACACCACAGGCGCACGTGCCAAGTTGCTAAGCCCTTCACCATAAGCCGCAAATCCTTCATGAATTTCAATCGAAACACTTTCCTAAGCGAAGCGCAGCATAGCGCAGCTGGTTGGTTGTCGACTGAGCATGGACACCATGGAACCAGCGAAGCATCTTTTTTTGAGTGAACACATATGAACACATTATTGACTGTAGACATTTGTTTACGTAGACTATGTATACTCATATGTCTATATAAATCGTGTATCTACATCCGGTAGAATGTTTCTGAATATCATACATAAATATTTCTGTGTATATATATATATTAATTATATAATATACACCTCACTATATATATATATGTAAAAATAACAAAAACCTTAACTGATTAAACATCCGGTAGAAACTCATCCCAAGTTTTTCAAGGGGGAAAGCTATGAAACCACCAGCCAGGTAAGGAAACTACAACTAGGACATGTTCCGGTTTTACCCAAGGTGAACTGCTGTGGGTCCACCATGCAATATTCAACTGGTGACTGGTGAGTTGGTTTACTGGAAAATTTACCAGCCAGGTTTTTCCAGATTTTTCTCGTCAAATATGGAGGTCATACAGGTCCCACAGGTCCCTGGCTGTCAAATGACTCTGGTTAAACCATGTTAAACCATCTCCTCCAACTGAGGCAGAAACAAACAGCTATCTCCCAATTTCCAACCAGTTTTCATCTATGGAATTGCTGATGCCGCCAAGATTTGTGATTGGTTTCTCGACGGAACTCTTTTCCTTCTGGTAACCATGATTCCGAAAGCCCCGAAAAGTTTAGCATCTACAAAAACGTACATCCGCAGCCAAGCCATCGCCGAGGCGCACGATCCGTACCAAGCGTATCAGGCGACAAAATCGCAGAAGTGAGGTCGGGATTTCACTTCCTGGTGCAGCAGGACGGGTGGCTTCAAGCCATTTTCCCGCCCTGCTAAGCTGCCAAGGCCAAGGCGAAAGTAATTACCGAATTACCAAAAGTAGCAGTGCAGGATTGACTGTGAAAGTCAGAACAAACCATCTCAAAGATATTAGTCAATTAGGATTTTTATCCCAGGGTTAAAAAAAAAATGGACACCATCAACTAGTAGATATTGAAATCACAAACCACGATAAGTATGTCCGAATTGGAGCCCCCATGGTTTCCAGGGTTTGAAGTACACAAATTGACCAACAAAGGCGTCCGTTAGGTGCCCCAAGATGTGCTTGCATCCTCAATGACAGAGCTTGGATCTGGACTGTTGGTTAGTAACCAACATCTTCATACATCTTCCAAATCTTTAGCACAAGAAAGGTCCCTTTGCGCATGAAGCGCGTTCAGATACTCATTGGGCAGTCAACGCACCCCTGAGACTGGACCACTAAGAGCTGAATGGATAATATAGCATCTGAGATAATCCTGATTTCAGGTGCCACTATATAGATCCATTGTGATCCATTCATCTATTCATATCGAGATACCAAGTCCTGTGCGGCTAAATCCCACGAGATTTCAGTAAATTTATCCCATTGTCTGGCAGCATTGCACACCATTCCCAAGTCAGCAAGAAATCAGCGAAATACCATGGCGAATCCCACGAAAACCATCAGTTAACCATCATTTTGAATTCCCCTTGATGGTTAAGCTCAACCACTATTATTGCATGTTGCGATGATTCCCTTGTCATCTCATCCCTCCATTGGATCACCGCGATTTTTCCAAAGCTTCGACGTTGGTTCGCGAGTTCCACTGTAACCTGGCAGCTGAGCTTAACCATCATGGTTAATGGGATTTTCCAGGGATTCTGAATGGGAATATCAAATCACATGTTGGAATTTAGACGCAAAAACTCATGGTCAACTGATGATATGTTAGGTGGTGATTTAACCATCAACTTCAGATTTCATGGGGATATACCCTTCGCTAATCCGGAAAAATCATCGAACTATAGCTGAGGGATTTTCCAGCCATGTGATTACCGCAGGGTATTCAATGGGATATTCAAGGGGATATGACATCTGGTTTTCATGCGATTTTTCCCTGACATGGGAAATATTCAGGAAATTCAAACCACCATCGAAACATAGGGGTTTAATGACTTTTGATGGGATGATATGCATGGAGATGCGAATTAACATATTCATGGCGACCTTAATATGTTAATGATATATTAAGATGAGGTTAACATATGTTAATATATGTACATATAATAATAATAAAAATAATAATAGTAATAACAATAATAATAATAATATGAATGGATATTAACTAGCAACCAATGGCTATATTCCATGCTGGTCAATTCAGAAACAACTGGAAGAACTGGTGATCTTACGCCACTGCAAAGTGGCTTAGCCGCATAGCCCACACATGCAATGGCCATGGTCAAAGCATGGAATCCCGAGTGGGTTGAGGCTCATCCCCTATGGGAAAAGTTGACGTGCCACGGTTTTGACAGCCGAATGATGGTCCGAATGAATAAATTTCGACATGGGGTTTTTAAGGATGTGAATAAATAGATGTTGATAGGATATATATATAATATAACATTATATATATATAAAATGGGATTTATACTTGGGTTATAATGGGATATACCCCATGTCATCAAACATGGCATGCTGGAACATCCACCATCGTGAACGATGTCCGAGCGAAGAGAAAACCTCCATGGCGAATTCGGGGATTTTCCAGCTAGCAATGTTTGATTACCGGAGGGTATATGGCTATGGATCAATACCTATTAATACCATTTTTAGGGGGATGAACATCCATTTACCAGCTATTTCGATGTTCACCAGGGGTACAAGGTTTTGACACACTGCCATATCAATGGGCAGTGCTGATTCTTGCTACTGGCTTCGATTTTCCAAGGATGGGAGTTCTGGCTGCGCCAGAAAGACTTCAAAACTGAACCACTGTTCCCCCAAGTCTGGGTTGGTGGTGATTATTCCTTTCACTGCCCCGAAAAGAATAGAACGATTCTGGTTGGTGGTTTCAACTTTCAACCCTGTATTCTTGGTATTTTTTGTACTTTTCATCCTAAAAGAAGGCAATGTTGGCAAAATCATGATTTTTCCTGGTAAGAGCACCATTTTTGCTGGTAAACTCCACATGTTTCCTGGTCTTTCTTCCCTGCTGCATGGCAGCCCAGCGCCGCCGCATGGCGCGGCGAAGCTGTCGTTGCGCTTCGCGGCTGTCAGGCCAAGAAGCATCGGTGACGCCGGTGATGCCAAGTAAAACATCAAACCTCTGCGCTTTTAGATGCTGGAATCAAGTGGATCAAGTGGATACTGATATGTAATATGAATGGATACTGATATGTAATATTACATATTAAGTATCATAATACATGTACATATGGAAATTGATATGTAATATGAATGTTGCATGGGAATGTTGTGGGATAAAAAACCATATTCTGGGTACTGTAAAGGGGTTGAGATTTAAAAAAGCCGAAAGCTATGGACATTTCACAAAACTCTTCTGGCTAGAATAAGAATTCTATTCACAAATAATTCATGGGACACACTGAGACAAATGGCCGACAGTATGATATGAGCTTGTCCACGAGAGTGAACATCGAACTGAATTATGTATTTCAAGTGTATTTCACGGGGATATCTTCTTCGATATAGAACCAACAGGACGAACACATAATATTATGTGGCTTTGTCCAAAAAATGAGGTCTTGATTTTAACGAGCACTTTTTCAATGGGCTCATGCGCTTCAAAAAAGAATGTCTTTCCTGTTTTTTGGGGAGTGAGAAGGGGGTGAGCAGAGAGCTTCACCAACATCAAATGTGGAATGATGCGGAACTTGCCGAGAAACATATGATAGTCAGATACAGATGAAGACAAACAACTTTAGGATTTTGTTAAGTGTGACAGCAAAAAAATGTGAACACAGAAAACTGGGGATATGACCGAGACACGAGAACGATCACGACCTGCTGGGTCATAAAATGTCTAATGACAGTGATAGATTCAAGAGCATCATTCAGCAATCAATATATATATAATATATATATAACTATACAGTTACATGAATATATAATTATACAGTCAACAAAGTAATTTACACTACGCTGATAAGAATATCTTCATCCCGTTTCCTGGGATGAACGTTTCGACCTCAAACCATGCCGTGCTGCTATGAGTCCCAGGAGTTGCGTGAAATGAACGCGACTCGATTGCTGCACATGGTAAACTGATTGGTGGTTTCAATCAATCCTTTTTATACATATATACACATATATATATACATATACATACATATATATACATATACATATATACATATATATATACATATACATATATATACCCGGTTGGTGGTTTCAACCCCTCTGAAAAATATGAAAGTCAGTTGGGATTATTCTTCCCAATATATGGAAAAAAAAAATGTTCCAAACCACCAACCATATATATATATAAACAATTATCAACGTGTAAACGTCATAACTGTGAGCATCAGCGCAAATAAGTGGAGCTCATTCACCATCTTGAAATCCTTGACCTTTTTTTGGGGGGGGAAAACATGCTTCCGCGACGATTTCCGGTCACCGCTGTTTTGGGTTTCCTGGTCGCGTTTTTTTTTCGCTGAGTGGCAAATTCCAAAGGTAATCATCGCCGCACCAGAAAGTACGACAACCAAGAAGGTGCCTTGGATCACTGGGAAATTCTTCAGGAAACGGTGGTTGTTTTTTGCCAACGTTTTCTTTTCGCCTCCAAAAAAAGGTTTTTGAAAAGGTCCCCCAAGACATAGACCCTGCCCAATAGAGGTATATTATGGTGATATTCCAACAACGAGAGCAACTACTGGTTCTTGGCAAGGCGTTCATGGCAAATCTTTGCTGATCAGTAGATGTCCCCATTATTCCCCATTTGTAGCGCAAGATTGAGTTGTACTAAACTTTACCAAGCTATCCAAGATTGATCCACTGGTTGGTGGTGCAATAACCATCTTGAAAAATGATGGAGTTCGTCAATGGTTGGCGGATGACATCCCATATATGAAATGGAAAATAATCCAGCCAATATTTGAAATCACCAACCAGAATCACCATTAATCATTATTAACCATGATTAACCATGATTAACCCATTACAATCCCCATGAAAATCCACCATTAACCAACCAGTGTCCAGTGCATCAAATGATGATCCAACACTGTCCAGGTCACCCAAAGAAAGTTGCCGCCAATTGAGGTCACAATTCCTTATCCCCACCATATTATGTACATTTATGTACTATATATATATATCTAATATATATATATATTATATTAAGTATCTATGAGCGGTTATAAAATGTTATAAAAGTATAAAATCATATCTAGCAGCATATAAAAGCTAGGAACAAAGCGTTCAATACCATTCTAACACACAAGTTACGGTGGATGGTTGCGAAATCCTGCACCAGTTGAAAACAGTGGTTTATCCCAAATTATTTTGTTGGGGATTCAACCATCCCAAATTGGTGGTGCAGGATTTCGCTGGCCCATCCACACTATCATTCATCACAAGTTATCATGGGACTGACCTGGTGACTAACCTAGGATCGTCCCTGCCAGGCTAGCCATGCTACATCCTCAAAATGATTTCCAGCACCAGAAAACCGGCGAAAACGCACTCGATGATTGGCCAACCTGGCTGAAAGGCTAGGTGAAACGCCAAAAAATGGCACCGATGAGATTTTTGTTGGGGATGCTGGGGTCATTTCTGTGGGATATCATTCTGCTGGATATTTGTTGTTCGTTGGGGATCATTTCTGGCTTCGGCAAACGCGCGCAAGTTTCAAGATGGTCGATGTGACACCGTTCGTGTCCAAAAATAGACTATGGAATAGCCATAGACCCTATGGATTACTGAGCTATGGATATTGGGGAAAATCATGATCAACATTGTGATCATTGATCACCCATATGCCATATGAATCTCATATGAATTGGTCTTTCCATAATCTTCAGATGCAGCCTTCACCAAAGTGAGCTGTTCATGCCACCCATCCCAAAATCAACCTAAAGTATCAAAAGTGGCAGTTGGAACATGAAAGTATTATGAAAATATCAATAAGCAACTAAATATTTGAAACTATGGGATAACGATGAGTTTCCTGAAAATAAACCTAAATATGGAGGAAACCTAAAAATGGGTGGTACTCCCAATTCATCCAAGTCATTAGTCCAGACTGTAACAGTAGGCCTTGACGTCAAACTATACCTCTATGTCTATTACTATTACAGTATTAAGATTATCCATAGGCTGACTTTTTTGACATTGTTTGACATGTTTGATCCCCAACTGTTGCATTAATTGTAGGCAAGGTGTTTTGCCTAATCCCCCAGAGAGGCAAGGAAACCTAGATGGGGCGGAAAAATTAGGGAAACACCACACCATCCAGTGGTTTATCGTTATTTTCCCTATGATAATTCATATTTTAGAAATATTTGAGAGTTAAGAAATCCGCAATTTTCAGACACACCCAGATAATTATCTGCAAGGTGGTGCCCCCCAAGTTATATCAAGTTATCAATTGGTTTATCAACCAATTTAACGATGGACACACACACACACATATATATATATATCCATAAATATCAATGCTAGTGGAGGCATCAACAAACTTAGCGTTCACGAACTGGGGCACCACCATTAGCTAATGGCAACCCCGTTTTACAGAGACGTCGCACCGTCCCAGACTTGATAAGTTGGCTCGGTCTGGAAGCCAATCCTAGGCGCAGCAACGTGTTACCAATCTGATTTTTCAGGGGAGAAAACGAGAGCCATGGATACTTCATGAATAATCAATGGTTAAAGAAATGGTCTCACTGGAACAGGATAATTTTAGATGGTCGAAGATAGACTGGATTAAAAAATGTAACTGACATGCTTCAAATCAATCTCGAGAGAACAAACATAGAGAATTTTATTGTGCAAATCACCATGACAACTACAACAAGATGAAAACCAGCGGTTTCGCAATTTATGGTGGGAAAAACAATCAGGAAACTCCGATGTTTGAAGCTAAAAAACATAGCTTCCTGTCATAATTCTCCCAAATTTGGTGGGGAAAATGGGGATCAACAAACCCTAGCCTGACCTTGAATCATTGGATTTGCAACTGCGCACCATGCCAAGTATTGTGAAGATTAATTAACAACAAATCAAAATGACAATGGTTAGGTAATGACTACATGATGACAGTGAGTTACAGTCATTTGGGGCTGAATCATTTCAAGGATGCAGAATTCTGCTTGAATTGGGATGCTTTTTTGGCCAAGGGTTGGTCATCTGAAGAGTTTCTTCACGAATGTGGTAAACCCAACACATATAAACCATATTAAACCATGTAGATCCAGCCAATTTTGGATTATTTTTACAGCCACTAAAAATTCATGGCATTGGCGAAACAACGAAAAAACGTCCGTAGGTCCGTAGACCTGGACCACTGGACCCGGCAAGGTCATAAATTGACATAAATTAACCGTCTGCATTATCGTCTGCAATGGAAAATTATCAATTTCTGGATTAAGATCAATTTTTTTCATCATATGATCATTTTTTATATGGTGCTGATTGAATTATTTGCTTATTTTTCAATAATTTCTAGAACATGATCATATTATTGAAAAATGCTGATTCAACATAACTATATGACATTGTGTTATTATATGAATGCTAAATTACCAGAGGGTCAACAATGCAGATTGGGACTGGGTCCAAAACAAACTCAATCGTGTGTGTGTCACAATATATACGTCGGCTTCTTCCCTCTGATCTCCATGTTCAAGCCTACACCGATCACAGTTTACTGTACTATTTCGTTTCTATTCATGCATCCAGGAGTCATAAACAAACCCAAGGGCTTGAAACGATCTTTATTCCCAATCACTGAACATTTCGTTCCAAAAACTGAACCGATTCATCAGTATTCCAAATAGATCTCCAAGATATTCCCAATTCCAATTCTATGGATCCTGGTCGCTTGACTATACGATATGGTATAGATCCCCCATACCCAATCTAAACAACCACTACATTCCATTATATATATATGTACATATTTATATCCCTATTCCATTAGCAAATTTTTACGAGTTCAATCACCATGTTTCCCGGGCACATCCGGCATGTTTACCCATGTTCATCCATTTTCCCCGGTGAATTTTCAAGATCTTCGCTGGTTCCGAAGGGCATAATGCCATTCGCAACGATGAGAAGCGCCACAAAGGGCTCGACATACCTGCGGCGTTTTTAAGATCTCTAAAGGTCATGGGACAACATATATACCCTCTGAAGTCAGTGGGGGGGGGGGTTCTTAACATGGGGGATACCCAATTGTGGTTAATGATGGTTAATGCTATCCATATGGGATATCAATGGTTAATGATGGTTACCCTCTGGTAAACTAACAGTTTGCTATTGAACATGGCCATAGAAATAGTGAGTTTTCCCAGCTATAACATGGTGATTTTCCATAGTTATGTAAACGTTTACCAGAGGGTATATAATTGAGATAAAACACATGTCATAAAATATGATAACGATATGATAACATCTGGTTGGTGGTGCAATAACCATCTTGAAAAATACGAGTTCGTCAATTGGGATGATGACATTCCCAATGTATGGAAAAATAAAAAATGTTTGAAACCAGCAACCAGACATGATATAAACAAACTTGGTATAATGTAGTCACCTCACTTTGAACTTTGGTAATCAAGATCTTTATGAGATAAAATTACATGATTGATGCAAACAACAACTATCCTTCCATGGGAACATCGTGGCGACAGTCAACGCCTCGATTGGAATAGTCATTCCGCCATGGAAGAAGTCAATGGAACCGATTTCTGGGAGGTACGTAGCATGTTTAAGGTCTATATTTTAGGGATACCCTCTGGTAAACTAACATAGCAATGGAAAATCACCAGTTTTAATGGGAAAACTCCCTATTTCAATGGCCATTTTCAATAGCTATGTTAAATTACCAGAGGGTATGTAAGGACATATTTAACCCCGAAACATGGCCAGAAATATGATCTTATATGGTACAGTTACTCCGTTCTAGAGTCCTGAGACTTCAACTGAATTGTGGGATAAAATCGTTGAAACTGCGGATGGACAAAATGCTGCACCAGTTGGTAACTATTGGTAACAATGAAACACTGTAAACAATAGGATTATACTAGGATAAGCCATCTACCAACTGGTGCAGGATTTCTTCCATTCACAGTATGTTGGGGATATATTTGGAAGCTATCAGCCATAATACATTGGATTATAGTATATTATAGTATCATATAGCCATTAGCCATCATATACTATGGAAAATAATCCAAATGTTTGAAACCACCAACCAGGATTTAATGGAATACAGTATTGTGTTTTTTATAACCACCCAAAAAGGGGATTCAATCTCTGGTGTCATTCAACGCTGAAACAATCCAAGGAACATTTCTGGCGGTTTCAATGGGAAAATCGACGAACTTTTCTTATGCCATGAAGATATCCCCCTATATCTTTCGGTTTTATATTAGTATTACCTGGTAAGCTCACTAGCAATTCATCCGGATTTTCACCTAATTTGTGGGTAGCCCCGTGTTGTACAGCGTAGCCACAACCGAGATTTCTGGTTGAGGCCACCCATCCATCAGGACGGACCAAGCATCCCACCCTTTTTCCAATCCGATGCCTGCATGACCTGTCCCAGTCGGATGTTCAAACGTGAGCCATGGATAAATCACCCCAAAGTCCTTCAACTTAGTCCATATTCAAACCATTTCAAACCAAACCCTGGGACAAAACAATCTAAAGTTCCTATTGGGTCCTATTCATCTAGTGTAGGCCCAATAAACCATCCCTAAGTCATCACCATTTTTATGGGTTACAGTATAAACCATCCCCTGGTGATGGCAGGAATCCTCCCCACGGCCCAGTTGCATTAAGGGATGCGTTGGTTCCGGCGGCGCAGCCAAATCATTGATCCTGACCTGGAGGTGCCAACAATTGGATGCATTTGGGTAAAATCCAATGGTAAAATAGCTAAAGTATGCTAACGTCATATACAACACCATGGCAAATATATTAGGTCAATGAAGTGGGTAAATCCACTGTGTTGTCTATAAGTCCTACTAAAACCATAGAAAATTTAACACAGTGAAAGCAATACAAGTTGAGTAATGGTGAACATATGTGAACATAAGATGAAATTAAGGATAAGTGATTAAACAGAATGGACGAACGGAGATACGCGCGGCAAATTGGAGAGAATGAAGAGATACTGCAAATCGAAGAACAACATCCTCATAGATAGAAGACATTTGTATCGGAAACCTGACCAAAGCGGACAGTCAGATTGGAGTTTCAGAGATAACTGACAAATTGGCAATAACAGTTATTAAAACGATAGCACCAACAAAAACGAACATGCAATGAAAGAAACCAACATGTAAATGGAATCGCAGGAGGAGGTATCTAATTACGTGTGATTCATGGCATCTGTGATGTTTGCAAGAAGGAATAGAATTGAACAGATTTCCAGAGAGTTCACTCTTTTTACACGGCAAAAAAGTGAGTTGTCACCTCAATGGCAATGGACCGTTGCACAATTTGACAATCCAAGGGTTCGAAGATGTCCGACATTGTGGGATGTCTGCTGTTTCTCCATTGTTGATGGCTAAATTTCATTGCATCCCATTGCTATCCGAAGTCGTTGAACACCCTTCATATGTAAAATTGTATAGGTTTTGACCTATCCCGATGTCAAAAAAAACTTCAAAAATTACCTGCGGGTGATTTCCCCGTTCATCCAATGGTTACCCTCTCTGCTACTGCTAGTCAACTATGGCAGTGGCAAATCCACTATTTATAGACGTTTTTCCCTTTAAACCATCCAATTGATCCAATTGGATGGTTATATATTCCCCTTATGGTTGGTATCATCCGCATTTCGGCTGGTTGAAATATCATGAATTTTCTCTTTAATTGACATGGTTGATAGATTCTGATAGATCTCCCATACCTGTATATCCCAAATATATCAACCATTGTATCCCATTCTATCCCCATTATACCATCATTTTGACCGATTAGATCGCCATTCTTCATGCTTCCAACTGGTGGTTCATTCCACTAATATGTCGATGAGCTCACCGATAAGTGGATGAAGAACTATTCTTATTCCACAAGAACAAAACATATCTACTTGGGATCAGAAGGATTAGCCACCAGTGTCCACGACACCTAAGCAATTCATCTACTTATTGAGGGGGCCAACTTTTGCTTCTCGGTAAAATTTTCGGTGTCTCATGGTATTACCAGAAAGTAAACTGGTAAATCCCGATGTGTTTCCCATTAAAAGCTCCATGAAAAGATCCGGGATTTCCCCACTATGTTTCATGACGCAACGGAGGAGATTCCGTGGATGTTCTAGTGCCCAGGGTTTTCGATGGCACCCGAGGTTTTCCTCCATGGAACCTGATGAAAATACCAGGGTTTTCCTATGGGTTTCCTGAGCCTCGAAATTTTCCCACAACCCCAAGCATGCGTTGAAGATATCCCATGTTGACAGACTACCCTTTGTGATTTTCATGAATTTTCCCTTATTTCTGGAGGTTTCCTAAAATGGGGGTACCCCTAAATCATCAAATTTAATAGGATTGTCCATATATAAATCACCCATTTTGGGGTACCCCTAAATCATGGACCCCCCCCAAATAGTCGATCCAATGGACCCCTCCATCCGTTCATATCCGTTCGCCAAGCCACAAAGGTCAGCTCGGCCACCAAGCGGTTGGTGTCGCCCGCCAGCAGAATTTCTCGCATGGCCAGGAACTGCTTGTAGGTCTGACGCACGTCAACTTTCCACCATTTTTGGTGGAGATTTGGGTAAAACTATGGAACCATTGGATTTAAACAAGAGATATTTATGGTCATTTGTAGGGACACCAGCTAAAATCGGAATTTGCACGGTTTTAGCTTTAACCAACCAGAAATGGGATACAATGGGGATAAAGCAGGGATATCGTGGCGATCAATATCACCAACAATAATAATAATAACAGTAATAATAGTAATAATAGTAATAATAATAATAATCATATATATATATATGTGGTTCTGTCCAACAAGTGAGCATTTATCCCTCAAATATTGCAATTTTGACAAATCATGGGATATTAATGGGGCGCGTGTTTGTTTTTCAGACAACCCCGTTTATTTGAGCTGGAACATGTAGATTTAACATGCAAATAGCAAATAGAGGAACTTCACCAGCGAAATTGGAATGTTACCCTCAGCATGAAATCATTCAACGAGCCAAATTAATAAATTGAAGCAGCGAAGATTGTGATGTAACCAGCAAGAATAGGGATACAAGAACAAATAAACATATTACCAGCCACAGAACATCACGTTTCTACTGGTTGGGTGGACATGTTTGAGGACAAAAAGAAGTTTTTGGATCGTTTGTATGCAAATTGACCAACGTATACTTTTTGAACCTGTAGGAACAAATCCATCCCCACAGCCCTATGATAAACGCAAGCATAGCATAGCAAAACACATATCATTATTGGGGCTTTCTTAAGTCATGGGGGATCCCCAAGTCACCATGGGTTTCAAGACTAAAATGGTCTACTGACTTAAAAGATTTGGGGTACCCCCATGACTTAGGAATACTTAGCAGAATTCCATATGCGAACTCTATCTTTGTAGATTCTATGATATTCTATTCCTACCCAATCAACCCTGTAAAGCCCGCAAAACTCAAGGTACCAACTCCCCCAATGGAATCCCCAACGATGCACCTGGAAACCAAAGATTCGCTTGTGAACATCCGAGTCTTGTGCAAGGAACAGTTCCATCCTTAGGAAGGTGGACGAAACAATCACCAATCCAGATATCAAAAAGTGAGAATGTGGGTAAACCAATGATAAACCATCCCCCACATCACCATAAATAGGTATAAATAGGTGGTATGGTTACCATTCCCAAATGGGTGGTTTATGACATTGTTTCACCGACATGAGTTCAATTTTGCATACTCGTGATTAGTTAGACCTGTATCCTGCTATGAATTTTAGCACAAAACGTTACTTGCTGGTAAATTCCTCCGTTTTTAGCAAATAATGAAGCCACGAGGCTACTCGACACAGGTTTACGACGGGCACACAGCTACCGTTTTTGGGTGGCTGGTTGCCTGAAAGCCAGAATTTTGTAAAATTCCATGCTAGTCCCAAGGTGCCAACGGAGGATCAGTGTGTGGAGGAATAATCCATCATCCAAACAGATTCAAATATGACATTCGTGTATCCAAACAAAACCCCGGTTCAGTATTGGATCCGTTACCGTCCTGTAAACTAACATAGGACCCAGCAGATGTGGAAAACCCGTGGTTCCCGTTCAGAAAACTCTCTAGAAATGGTGGGTCTTCCACATTTACGTTAGTTTCCCCGATTCTTCCAGGGTATATAGAGGTTTCCTAACAAATACCCCCAGTTCTCATCCATTTCAATGAGATTTTCCTCCATTTTAGAGCCCCAAAAAAGAACAGTCTGGCAGGGCCTTTCGACCTGGGTTTCCCTGCAACACCGAAGCAGGGGCCACGTTGTAAGTACTGCTGGCCTGCCACAACAACGACACTTCGGGGACTTACCTGCGGAAGATCAAGGTAGGGTTGTGGGATGTTGTGGGACCACCTACTCTACTAAAATATACTAACACCATATAATTCATTATAACTCTAAGTGTGGTTGCACATCCAAACACGCATCTTCTGGGACGTTTCAGCAGCCGGTCGAGATCATCCGAACAATCACATGTGAAATAGGAATTCTGGCAGGTGTCTTGGAAGATCTTCTGGCCGCAATATGCTGCAATTTGAATCAGTTGCCCTGAAGTTTCGGTTGTGGCCCCCCAAACTCTAAAAACCAGGAGAAACAGATCAACGATCCAACGCAGGCGATCCGGAGCGCGTACCGTTGATGTAGCCCCAAAATGTCAAAAACCATGGCAGTTTGATAATAAAATAACTGACCAACATGAATACATACTTGTATAATTTGTGTATCATAATTGTTTATATATATATTATGAATATATATTATGATACATATTAAATATATACATATTATATGTATACATATGATATATAATCTCTTATATATTATACGATACTATAATATATAATATATTATATATTGTAATATATAATATATTATATATTACATGATATATTATTTATTACATCATATATATATTATACATTATGTGTATATATATATATGAACTATGATTATTATCTGATATATGATGCATGTATGATATATGGTATACGAAAAATGATGAATTATATACATACATACATACATACATTACATTACATTACATGACATTACATTACATTGCACTACATTACATTACATTACATTACATTACATTACATTGCATTGCATTACATTACATTACATTACATTACATACATATATATATATATAACAATAATAATATAGTATATATATAATATAGTTGTTATTTGCATATTCCATATTAGATATAATCTATTATATACTATATATTTATCATATTTTATCATACTTTTGTTGATGATTAAGCTATGGATTTAGGGGTGGTACCCAGCTCCCAGATCATCCAATCATCCAATCATCCAACCTGCTTTTCGCTCATCACCGACATGGACGCCATCGAACCGGCACGGCCCATGCGGGCCTTGGGGGGGTTCAACGGAGATATCTACTGTATTGGATGGATGAAACTGATGAAACATGGTGAAACTAGACTAAACTGTATTGGATGAAACATGGTGAAACGTTTTTTTGGTGAAACAAAACTGATATAGACATGACAAGACCAAGTTTTTTAACTGTGCAAATTACGATTCGTTTTCGGAGAAGTCTTTTTTCCGTTAGCGTATACCAGTCCTCGTTGCTGGATCTTCGCATCCCTGGGGAACCATGGAGATGTTCACCCTGTCCAGGAACCAGTCCCATAGCGAAAACACTGTAAGAGAAGTCACTCTTGGTGACATGGGCTAAGCTGCTAAGCTGCTGAGTAAAGCTCAAATAATATGTCTTGAACAACTTGAACATCACCTTCAATTCTAATGTTTCAGGTTGCAAAATTGATCCCTGCAGCCTTGAAAGACTCAACAGGTGAACAGGTCAAGGCAGTCTCTGGTCACGGTTTTCGGACATCACCCCCCAGACCTTCATTGGGCCAGAGCACAAACTTCAACAGGCTACCATCAAAACATATTAGTCAAAATGGTCAAACTAGCTCGACCCCCTAGACTCTAGACAGAATTTTGGAACAATAAATGTCGAATGATTTTCGACAGAAATATTGCGGTCAAATCATATCGATTACCATCCGAAAAGAATTTGCAACAACCCTATTAACAATTTGATAGACACTGTTTTACACGCTAGATCTGAATTATTTGAAGTCTGAAAGTAAACATATTAATCTATATAAAACAAACAATACATAGCACCAAGAGGATGATCAAAATCATTTCCCTACCGCGGCCATGATGTTATATCCAGACAGGACCAGCACGGCAAACAAAGGAGTTTCAACACCGATTTTCCAGGAGGCTTTCAGAATAGAGATTCAATCAACCCAATAGCACTTTTACATAGTTTTACGCAATACCCAAAATCATCATAATCATCAACTTGAAAGAGAAGTCGCAGCAACACTCTAAAAAAACTGGAGCACTTATATAAACTGGGGAATCAAATCATCAATCAATTTCATCAATTTCATCTGGGTACCCACTGGGGTCCAAGGGACTGAGACCTCTTTGATCTGCGGCCAGTCCCAGGACCAGGAGCCGTAATCATGATCCTCGCAGGGCTTGGTGGCTTTGGGTTTTGAACGTATGTGGTTTCCCTTGGGAAAATATGGGAAAATATGGTGTAACATGATCTACATATGATCCACAGATGGTGGATTGTCAACGTAGTATGTCAGAATAAACCCCAGAGTAGAGCTTTATGTTTGTGCAAATTCCTCCCACATCTGAGTTTTTGGTCCATGCAATTTCCAAAAAAGCTGAAACATCTGAAACCACATCAAAACTGTAAACCGCTTTCGGATCTATACGCATCATTTATGAGGCTGACTAAAGCCAGGTTCGCCAAACTTCCCCAGAACCGTCCCGTGATCCAACATGACGCTGCAGATGGCCAGTTGTGATGCCCACATGACGCTGAAAAGTGATGTCCCCAATTCACCCCCTTTTTCCCCAGTTCAACATCAAAAAAAACATCATCCAGCTACTAATCCCATACAAAAAAAACATCATTCCAACAAGTGCCCCATAATTGACGAATTAAACATCATTCAGCTCAGTCTCAGCTTTTTGCACAGTAACCTGATAATTCATCCGTGGAAATTGTTTCCAGGTCCTCCTCCCAGCTGAAGATCGTCTGCCTCCTCCTTCGCTTGCTCTGTTCATCCTCCTGTGGCCCCAGATTTTGACCGATTTGATCATTGGATCATCAGCATGCAAACTGGAATTGAAGAATACAATTATATATATATATACACAGTATATACGAGAACTGTGTATATATATATATACACATATATATATATATGTATATATATACATATATATATATATGTGTGTGTGTGTCTGAAAATGGGGGATTAAGCCCAAAATTGTTGTTGCCATTGGGAACGTGATTATAGTGGATGCTCGTGAAAATTTGCAAAGTCACTAAGTCACGGTTCATATCAATATAGAAACCACATGTCTTGGACGGGTGCCTAGAAGTAGTGGAGACCACTTTTCGGAATTCGACTCCGCCCGGTCCGCCCGGCCTTGAAGTTCAAGTTGATGAAATCTGCCAACAAATTGACCTGGTGCACACAACCCACGGTGAAAAAAAAGCCAGGGTCAGATAAAAATCCTGAACGACCTGCCAGGGAAATCTGCCCACAAAAGTCGCCAAAATATATGGTCTAAAAAGAACGACAGTTTATGATGCAGTACTTTGTGATCAGTTGCAGCTTTGCTCATTGTTGGACGTTCCTGCCTAAACATCTACCTATTGTTTGCTTCATTGCTGGGTGCGTATGTATCTCAATTGCTGGTATATTCCTTCATGTCGTTTATGGCAATGCCCATGCTTCTGCCCATTATGTATATAAGAAGGCCAAAATCGTAGGCTGTACCATCTGGTTATCTAACATAGCAATGGAAAATCACCATTTTTAATAGGTAAACCTCTATAAATGTGCCATTTCCCATGGCTATGTTAAATAGCCAGAGGGTATCATGCAATGGTTTCAGTCCATTCCAACATGACGTGGGAATCGAGGTTTCTGTGTGGTACTTGTTGAAACGGCCAGAGGCAAAATCATCACCGATTTCAGTGTTGCAACTGTTATCTTTTTTTGGGCACCGTCTCTCTTGATGGCATGTTCATGTTGCTTGTATATCTTGTATCTTCCCACAATCTGTCCTTTGTCTTGTAGCTTTTCTCGGTCGAATCCTCATATCATGTTCGTTGTCAAAGTCTCCCAAAGTCTCCGCTCGTCTTGTTGCTGAAACCGAGTGAACCCCCCCATCTTAAAACCTTGTTTTGTTCGGTCCTTTCTTGCCGAAACCTCCGCATTTCTTTCATCTCAACATATTAATACGTTTTTCTCCCCGGATGGCTACTCCCCAGCCACTCTCCATTTTTAACATTTCCCACATCAGGATTAATTTTCAAAGTCATCCAACATTCACAAAAAACTGCTTCTTCTATATCCTCATTTTATATTCTCCTTTAATCTCAAAAAAATGACAAGGCTGTCAAGATATCATGGCATCATCCACTATCATATTCATATCATATTCATATCATATTCATATCATATCATATCATGTCATATGTGATATATCCATCTGATGGTCTCCCTTCATATCCATCTCCCTCTTTTTTGGTCCCTCGGCCAGCTCCCACGGTGGCCACGGGACCAAATCATTCATCTCCTCCACGGAGTAGCGCGTCAGGCCTAAGGCCTGCACGGCGTCATGCAGACTTTGGCCGCTGACCATCTTCCTCAGTGGCCGCTGAGGTGAGAATGGATGAATGGATGATGGAAAAAAGGACCCAGGATTCCGAGGATTGGAGATTTTTCTATGTTTTTGTTCATGAGTTAAAGATCTATGAAAATTTCTGACATGTCTGGTGGATTTCACCAACAAAAAAGGACTTTTTACCAACAAACATTTTAGTTAATAGGAGATAAATCGAAGCTTTCACCAACCAAGAGACCAAGAGTGGTGACTTTCAACCAACCAAAGTCCCCACATTCAGCACCACAATGGGAGTTGATTCATGAGCCATGATGGCACAAGACCGATTATGCCATGATATGGTTACAATGAGCAAATATGCCGTGCCATTGCATCTAAGATGGTTGAACAGGATAGATGATTTGTGATCTATGTAGGCCGAAAATCGAATTCAAAAAAAACTTGGAATCGAATTTAAAAAAGGATTAAATTCGAATTTAATTCCTACGTGTCTGGTCTTCATCGACCTTAAAAAAGGATTAAATTCGAATTTAATTCCTACGTGTCTGCTCTTCATCTGACCTTCAAGAAGGAATTAAATTCAAACTTAATTCCTGTCATGGACGGATTTTGAGGGGAATTTCAGACCCCACAGAATGCACATTGACAGGACAGACAGGGAGGCAGGAACCCAGAGAGAGAGAGAGAGAGACAGCTGACAGCTGGCTAGCTAAGCAGACGGACCGACAGCAGACATCTCCTCATCTTCACATCTTCCCCAACCTAACATCTTACATATTCACATCCTGACATCTTCTCATCTTCACATCCTCACATACACCTTTACATGCTCTCATCTTCACACTTCTCATCTTCACATCTTCTCATCTTCACACCTTCTAAGATATCTTCTCATCTTCACATCTTCTCATCCTCACATCCTCACATCTCACATCTTCTCATCTTCACCCTTCACATCTTCACACCCTCTCATATTCACATCTGCTCATCTTCACATCTTCTCATCCTCACCCTCTCGTCTTCACATCTGCGCATCTTCACATCTTCCCATTCTCACATCTTCTCATTTTCACACCTTCTCATAAAGACATTTTCACATCTTCTCATCCTCAAATCTCCAATCTTCACATCTTCACATCTTCACACCCTCTCATCTTCACATCTGCTATTCTTCACATCTTCTCATCCTCACCTTCTTTTCTTCACATCTTCTCATCCTCACCTTCTCATCCTCACCTTCTTTTCTTCACATCTGCTGATCCTCACATCTTCTCATCTTCACATCTTCATCTCCTCTCATCACCACATCTGCTCATCTTGACATCTTCTCACCTTCACATCCATTCATTTTTACATCCTCACATCTTCACATCTTCTCCTCGCCTTTTGCTTTCTTGCCCTCTTGCTCTCTTGCCCTCTTGCCTTCTTGCCCTCTCCTTCTTTTGAATTTCTCTATTGACTCTATTGAAGGCGCGGGGCAGTGCCAACGAGACGGCACGATACGTAACCCCCGTGTCTGAAAAAAAATACGAAAGATACGATGCAAACTGTTGTCCTGTACTTGTAATATATTGTTTTGATACTATTTTTCTCGTCTGCCTAAAATACATTTTTAATATATTATCTTGTAATATAGTGCATCCATACTAACCATAGAAGACTCTGC